CATACATCGTCAGTGATAACTACCGGATCATACATCGTTAGTGATAACTACCGGATCATACATCGTTAGTGATAACTACCGGATCATACATCGTGAGGGATATCTACCGGATCATACATCGTGTGGGATATCTACCGGATCATACATCGTCAGTGATAACTACCGGATCATACATCGTTAGTGATAACTACCGGATCATACATCGTTAGTGATAACTACCGGATCATACATCGTGAGTGATAACTACCGGATCATACATCGTTAGTGATAACTACCGGATCATACATCGTGTGGGATATCTACCGGATCATACATCGTTAGTGATAACTACCGGATCATACATCGTTAGTGATAACTACCGGATCATACATCGTTAGTGATAACTACCGGATCATACATCGTGAGTGATAACTACCGGATCATACATCGTTAGTGATAACTACCGGATCATACATCGTCAGTGATAACTACCGGATCATACATCGTCAGTGATAACTACCGGATCATACATCGTCAGTGATAACTACCGGATCATACATCGTCAGTGATAACTACCGGATCATACATCGTCAGTGATAACTACCGGATCATACATCGTCAGTGATAACTACCGGATCATACATCGTCAGTGATAACTACCGGATCATACATCGTGAGTGATAACTACCGGATCATACATCGTCAGTGATAACTACCGGATCATACATCGTGTGGGATATCTACCGGATCATACATCGTCAGTGATAACTACCGGATCATACATCGTTAGTGATAACTACCGGATCATACATCGTCAGTGATAACTACCGGATCATACATCGTCAGTGATAACTACCGGATCATACATCGTTAGTGATAACTACCGGATCATACATCGTTAGTGATAACTACCGGATCATACATCGTGAGTGATAACTACCGGATCATACATCGTTAGTGATAACTACCGGATCATACATCGTGTGGGATATCTACCGGATCATACATCGTCAGTGATAACTACCGGATCATACATCGTCAGTGATAACTACCGGATCATACATCGTCAGTGATAACTACCGGATCATACATCGTCAGTGATAACTACCGGATCATACATCGTCAGTGATAACTACCGGATCATACATCGTTAGTGATAACTACCGGATCATACATCGTCAGTGATAACTACCGGATCATACATCGTCAGTGATAACTACCGGATCATACATCGTCAGTGATAACTACCGGATCATACATCGTCAGTGATAACTACCGGATCATACATCGTCAGTGATAACTACCGGATCATACATCGTCAGTGATAACTACCGGATCATACATCGTTAGTGATAACTACCGGATCATACATCGTCAGTGATAACTACCGGATCATACATCGTTAGTGATAACTACCGGATCATACATCGTGAGTGATAACTACCGGATCATACATCGTTAGTGATAACTACCGGATCATACATCGTTAGTGATAACTACCGGATCATACATCGTTAGTGATAACTACCGGATCATACATCGTCAGTGATAACTACCGGATCATACATCGTTAGTGATAACTACCGGATCATACATCGTTAGTGATAACTACCGGATCATACATCGTCAGTGATAACTACCGGATCATACATCGTCAGTGATAACTACCGGATCATACATCGTCAGTGATAACTACCGGATCATACATCGTGAGTGATGACTACCGGATCATACATCGTCAGTGATAACTACCGGATCATACATCGTCAGTGATAACTACCGGATCATACATCGTCAGTGATAACTACCGGATCATACATCGTCAGTGATAACTACCGGATCATACATCGTCAGTGATAACTACCGGATCATACATCGTCAGTGATGACTACCGGATCATACATCGTCAGTGATAACTACCGGATCATACATCGTCAGTGATAACTACCGGATCATACATCGTCAGTGATAACTACCGGATCATACATCGTCAGTGATAACTACCGGATCATACATCGTCAGTGATAACTACCGGATCATACATCGTCAGTGATAACTACCGGATCATACATCGTCAGTGATAACTACCGGATCATACATCGTCAGTGATAACTACCGGATCATACATCGTCAGTGATAACTACCGGATCATACATCGTCAGTGATAACTACCGGATCATACATCGTCAGTGATAACTACCGGATCATACATCGTCAGTGATAACTACCGGATCATACATCGTCAGTGATAACTACCGGATCATACATCGTCAGTGATAACTACCGGATCATACATCGTCAGTGATAACTACCGGATCATACATCGTCAGTGATAACTACCGGATCATACATCGTCAGTGATAACTACCGGATCATACATCGTCAGTGATAACTACCGGATCATACATCGTCAGTGATAACTACCGGATCATACATCGTCAGTGATAACTACCGGATCATACATCGTCAGTGATAACTACCGGATCATACATCGTCAGTGATAACTACCGGATCATACATCGTCAGTGATAACTACCGGATCATACATCGTTAGTGATGACTACCGGATCATACATTGTCAGTGATAACTACCGGATCATACATCGTCAGTGATAACTACCGGATCATACATCGTCAGTGATGACTACCGGACCATACATTGTCAGTGATAACTACCGGATCATACATCGTCAGTGATAACTACCGGATCATACATCGTTAGTGATGACTACCGGATCATACATTGTCAGTGATAACTACCGGATCATACATCGTCAGTGATAACTACCGGATCATACATCGTCAGTGATGACTACCGGACCATACATCCGCTTTGGTTGTATGATGGACTACAGTGGCCGCACATTTTTCATTACCACACGTTATACCTTTGAAGAAATGTGATTTCAAGTTTCCAGTCAATAAATTCATTGCCAAGACACTTTGATATCAACACATTTCGATATACACACATTTCCATTACAGCGACATACTGATACTTGATATCTATCGAAAGTTTGGTTATAACTTTTTACAGTGAGCAGGGTATATCCTCAATCAAATCTCATATTTCCTCTTGTAATTTTTACTATCAAATTATGTTGAATTTTCACCATATAAAACAATCAGATACTAAATATCAATACACATGTCCTAGTTTCCTAGCAATGTGTCATTAATCATACTTTCATATAGTTTGAAACCTTCCTTAATGTCATATTTATCAAAGCTTCAAACAACTAGACACATTTCATAACGTGTCATTTATTAAAACTTTATATGACGTGTCATTTATTAAAACTTTATATGACGTGTCATTTATTAAAACTTTATATGACGTGTCATTTATTAAAACTTTATATGACGTGTCATTTATTAAAACTTTATATGACGTGTCATTTATTAAAACTTTATATGACGTGTCATTTATTAAAACTTTATATGACGTGTCATTTATTAAAACTTTATATGAACTTTATATGACGTGTCATTTATCTGAACTTTATATGACGTGTCATTTATCTGAACTTTATATGACGTGTCATTTATCTGAACTTTATACAACCAGACACCTTTCTTAATTCTTCAGTTACCTTAGCTTTATTTAACTAGATATCTTTACTTTTGTGTTATTAATCTTACATTAGATAACAAGACACGTTACCTTATGTACAAGAAGACACTTTCCTAATGTGTCATTAATCTAACGTTAGATAACAAGACACGTTACCTTATGTGCCATGCATCTTATAACTTTATACAAGAAGACACTTTCCTAATGTGTCATTAATCTAACGTTAGATAACAAGACACGTTACCTTATGTGCCATGCATCTTATAACTTTATACAAGAAGACACTTTCCTAATGTGTCATTAATCTAACGTTAGATAACAAGACACGTAACCTTATGTACAAGAAGACACTTTCGTAATTTGCCAGTAATTTTAACTTCAAATAACTAGGCACCTTACCAATTATGTCATTAATATATATGTTATACAACTAGACAACGCTGTTAATGTGACAATGATCGATGGTTTAACTACTACCAGACACCAGAGGAAATGCATGTTTATCTAACGAGATGTATTTGGTTAACGTCTAATGATGAGCATTCTGGTCTAGTGTGAAGTGATTGTGGTCATTGATTTTCAATCAATAGGAAGTTGCCATTCATCCTGAAATATCACAGAAAACGACTACACTGGGGAAATATATACATATACCATATTCAATACACGGCACAAAATGGGGCGGCGTGATTCAATGTATTTAATATGACAGCTAGGGCACACAGAAAGCATACCTTAAAAGACTGACGAAATGTTTACACATCACAGCTGTTAGATTCTAACCTGAAAAAAATTACCTTCGACATCAACCAAGATCTGAAATGATACTTTTGATGTCCTATCAAATAAACAGTGCCCTCTGGCGAGGTTAATATAGTCAGATTTCAAGTAAATGTCCCTGTTATATAACACTTCTTATCACGTCCTAAACGTCCTTATGAATAACGGAACAAGTGGTGACCTCACTAACGATGCTCACTTTAACCAATTATATTCGATTTCAAACAGTTTGGGGAAAAAACTATTCACGGATAAAGTTTTAAACGATCCAGTAACATATATTTAATAACGTTTATCTTAACAGCTTCGGTCATATTATCTTATCATATCTTTATGTACACTTTTCAAATATGTCATCTGTTTTTTCCGGAAGTGCAATGATATTTGGTGTACCTTTCAGATAAAGTGACAATTAATATACAATTTAAACAAATCAAATGACTGGTTTCTGTGCGTCTCACTTATGTGATATATAGCCTTTTATGCCACAAGTTGTTTCGTCAATCAACAAAAGTCGCTGTATGGGGTTGTTTTCCTGAAGACTTCAATAAGTCCCGAGATTGTTTCGTAGGACTCCAACTAACACATTGCGCTATTAAGTCACATTATTACATCGCACAGTTTACAGAAAACATTCCACATGTAATCCGTATAACGAGATCTCCATTTACGTTTCATTCCTGTCTGATTTGATATCACTCGCGACAGTCTCGAATTCTTTACTACATTTCACTTTGATACTTTGTCTGTGAAAAGACATGGCTTGTCTACGAGCACTTGGTACTGGTGACGTCAGACGAGGGAGATGAACCTGCCAGCTTGATACTACGTTCCCCTCTTCCGTTTCCCTGAACGTTGGAGAGGGCGAACGTGATGGCGGCAGATCGTCGAAAACATCGTCGCATTTTTTCAAAATGGATTTGGGCTTTTTATAAACGTTTGTTTCCCTCTTCGCCGGAATAGGTGGTAATCGCACCGGTCGTTTTGGCTTTAGATTAAATTCAACTTTTCTCCTTTTTGGTATGTAAACATTATTAGTACTTTCTCTGCAAAAGAAGTTTACATTCCCGTGAACGGACCTACTGCTTTCTGTTGTATGACTTGACAAACTTCCATCTCTATTTCGCTGTTCCTCGTCGTGTATTGGAATCGTTGGTAAAAACACTGCTTTCTTTAATTTCAGATTTTTCTTATTTGAATGTTTCATTTTAGTGTTATTTGGTGAGATGCTTTTGACGTCCAGTCGCGGAGTGAGATCCGCTTCACTGACCTCACTTCTGTTGTCACTCTTGCCATCACCTTTATCACGACGCATAGACGTTATGAAATCGCTGTTATCGGCATACCGTTCTTTGATTTCATCTAACTTGTCACCCCATAAAGACTCGTCCGTATACCAGCTTGTATAAGAAGTAGGTCTACTTCTCGAGGCATTACTACTCGTTTCAGACTCTAGTCTGTCTTTTCGGTACGGAGGTCGTGCTCTTATGACCTTGACCTTGGATAGTTTTGATTCTGTACTCCGCACAGACGAACCACCTTCCGACCCTAACCGGGTTCGTGGCGATTGTCTTCCAGAAGTAAGCACATCATTAATAATCTGTTTAGCCGAAATTCTGTTGCACGTGATGGTTTCCGTCCTTCGTTTTTGAAGTTTTAAAATGGATCCAAGTTCTGCCGATGAGGTATCATTTGAACGTTGCAGCGCTTTCAGAGTGTCCAGTCCTTTCTCGTAAGGAACGGTAAGACTAGTAGAACTGATTTTCTGTCTGATATTGGCATAAGCCGTGGTATCCTTGGTGACGTCTGTTTTAATGGTTTCTCTGCGAGTGTACCGCTGGTAACTAGGCAACGTGGCAAAGGCATAATTACGTTGCATGTCGCTGGATTGGGGAAGCTGGACAAGTGAGCGAAAAGGATGAGTAGGTGATGATTGTGATAATGGGATACAGTAGGACGAGCTGGAGAGCACTGTCGACATCTGTAACACCTGGGCGTACCTGACACCTAGCTCAGGTATTCAAATCTGTATATCAAAGTAGATATATAGGCTAATCCTTTTTAGTCTTCCTTGTCCATAACCGTAAAAAATGAGAGTAATATATCGTCTTTATCGTAAATTCAATACACAGGCACACGTGTACCTATATGTGTACATCTACATACCAGATAACCGTCTCCGTTAATGTTTTGGAATCCTCTTCATCTTATCCAGACGCACGTGTTCAGCTCATCTCACTAATGCACACATCTTCACATGTAGACACGTAATATTAGGCACATCTCCATACTTTTGTTCTAATGGTTCGGAATAGATAAAGAAAATCCTATGATCATTTTCTTTTCCCATTCTTCCAAACTCCCAAACTTTTCTTCAAGTCAAATAACAATTGAAGAAACAAAACGCTTTGTGTTTATTCCCGGGAGGTACTTTCTTCAGTATCAAACGTTTTATATGATCAAGACAATTTATGTAAATCAAATGTTAAGAAGATTTTCATTCTGTTACATCAAATCAACGCTTAAAATTCTTTTACCTCGACACATGACGAGAAATACTGTTTGGAAATATACACAAGTCGGTTTGAACATTCGGCGACCAATCACACTCGAGCGGTCTTCCGTACAGGTAACACTTAAAGTTATAACACGATTTTTGTCAAAACGGAACACAGGTCCAATATGCAGACAACCGAATACAACTCGATACCCCCTGTTCCTGGGTAGGAACGACCGGTATTGACAGACGGGCCGATCAGACACGATCAATAAAAGGTCGGCACTGCTTTATAGGCGGATTAAATGCATATCAAACGAGTTTTTATTATCGAAAAAAAAGAAGACAGTAGCGTGAATACGGGAGGTTCTATACGTGTGCAGTGAGTCTCTTCATTCAGCACGTTTTATGTATGTGTTATAAAGAGGAATAAATACCTAATTGATCCGAAGTTTATGACATATTAACTAGTGTTTATACCACTTGGAGAGCAGAGTAAAGATTGAAACCACCTATGGAATTGATTGAACCCCTCTGCAGATTAGTTATGGCGACTAAATGCTGTATATTATTATCTGTAGTGATATATATCACCTACAACGGAATTAAGTCTCAAAATACGAGGCTTGATACAATTAACTTACCATAACGATAACGCTGGCATTTTTATCTACCTATAAAAAATATTATAGATAAGTATAGGTTCCCTCTGTGTCACAGTGTTTAACAGTTACCTGTCTATCACTGGTAAATCTATAATACTTCGATAATGTAATTCCACCCTGTAAAATAAAAAATGCACATAATGAATTTCTAAAGTATTGTATGATAAAACAAAAAATGTAAACTGTAATTTCTGTCACTGATGTTACTTAAATACCATGCGGTATTGGCTAAATTGTTGCTCAGAAACGTCGCACCTCCTAATAATAAAAAATCAGACTGAATAAATAGACAGTTGGGCGTTATCCGTAAATATTAGCCACATAAAAACAATATATGTTAAAACAATATTGGATGTTTGTAGGAGTCGCACTATATTTGTATCACCGAGAGGGACATTCTATAACTCGAGTGGGTGCTACTTCACATTCCGCACTCAACAATCAACATTTTGTCCACCCATTTCAATATCTACACAAAACGTGGGATTTTTTTACATAATCATACTCGTCCTTACTACCAAGGCGATAGAGGCGATGATGCGTTTTCAACTAGCTCAGCTTGTCCTTGCCTTATCCTCACTTTTAAAACTTCAAGTTCAGAGTTTGTGTAGAGGTATTGACTTGGAAAATGCAATCATAGAACAAAAAGTTATGGAAAATATCAAACCATTCATCGTGGAACTAATGAAGATTCAACATCAACAGACATCAGACGAATGTTTGCGTGTATGTGGCACGACAGCCAACAGCAGCAAGACACAATTACAGCAAGATTTCAAGCGGAAATATGAAAGGCTTTCGAAAACAGTGGATGAAAATGCAGCTTTTGTAACACAACTGAAGAGAACAAGTTTAGGAAATACTTTGATAGAAGGTAAGGATTTTCTGCCCGTTGCTTTGCAGGTATTACAGGCCCATTCGGGCAATTCGAGTGCTGCCTTCATAACGATAAAACAAGGCATAAAATATCTATATAGAAATGTACTCGTAGCTCTGCAGTCATAAACAGGTGTACACAAACGAGAACGAACAGACATTTAGACAGGTGTACACAAACGAGAACGAACAGACATTTAGACAGGTGTACACAAACGAGAACGAACAGACATTTATACAGGTGTACACAAACGAGAACGAACAGACATTTAAACAGATTGTACAAAAGAGTCACAAATGAAAGGACGTTTTAATACAAATTCAGAGTTAGATACGGTAGAACCAAACAAAGAATTTAACTGCATCATACAGCTGTTTTGTCCTTCTAGGACTCGTCAGTGATGTTTAAGGGCCTAGATTTTGAAGCGCAAGAGGCGACTGGTGAATCCAAGGTGATCGAAAAAAATGTCAGAATCTAGATTGGAAGATGACCAGTCCCTTTATTTAGTACTTCCATATACCTGATAATGCTGAACAGTGCCACTATCCGAATGAAGTAAAAGGAAGGAAAAACACCATAACCCCGTTCTCAGTGTAGTGGCATCCACTACATACACACCTGCAATATGACATAGTGCTGTTTTCACGAATAAATGCCGAAATATTTAAGCTAAAAAAGTAAAAAGTAGAATCTAATGAAAACAATTGTTAGAACTTCTATATGACAAACAAATAGGACATTAACAATGTCTGTCTTAAATATGTGTACAGTTACTATAAATTGTATTATAATGAGATAGATACATGTTGACACACCAACAAATATGTCTTTTCTTCGTTGCAGATTTCCCTATTCATATGAGCGAGACAACTTTAAATTCAAGAACATTTTTGTCACTTGATCGGAAGTCACTTTTTAACTCTCGTAACCCGTGGACAAATCTCACGAATGACTTCCCTTTCGAATGGCCGATTGTAAGCGATACCACCCTTGTGAAATATTACGGTGTGAAGGGTTCTCTTCCTATAAAACATCCGGACATCGTTTGCTTCGAGCTTGACGCATATTACAGAATAAATTTTGACCTGACAGGACGAAACTTGTTGTTCGAGTTTGGGGTAGGGCGTGAAAGCGCCGTCGATAATTCTCACTACATTGGATGGGAGCTACACTCTACATGGTCGTTCGTAGTTGCTCGAGACGACGTCACTGGTCGTGTAAAAAGCGCATGTCAATCACAGCAAAAGAATCATGGTGGTTTGAAAGATGTGGGGAACAGTACAGCAGGCACGCACAACCACATGGCGCTGGGTGTTCGCGTCAACATGGCGGACGGGAAAATGACGGTAATGAACAGATTGTCCAATACCGTCATCTGCGATTTCTCCGATGTTGATGTTACACTGAATCTCTGGCCTATGTTCGGTGTCTACGCAAAAAGTAGTTCTGACGTCGTATTGACGTTACGTCATAGTTTTCTGCTGTCGTCACGGATTTGGATCGATCTGTGAGGTCAAGCATAGAGATGACCGATGTGTTATACTTAAAAAGACCTATTTAACGTTACGGATGACACAAACATTTGAACATATCTACCTCCAGCTATGTAATCACTTGATCATAACGGCCTATATCAACATTGTTATTATGTATATATTTTAGAACACGATATCAAGTGACTTCATTCTATACGTAATAGATTTTAAGTAAATGAATATCCAAACACAAGTAAGTATTAAATTACTTAAAATAGAATACATCAATGTAGGGTCAATGAGAACACGGTATCACATCGACAACAACACCATGCCAACTAAGTAGACAACTCTCACATACAATCATAGTGCTAAAAGTACTGGAAACTCTCGAAACTTACAATCTAAAACGTCAGCATGCGCTCATACCACGGTAAACGTACTAACACAAACTCTGTCACAACTACAGCAAGGTGATAACTAAATTATGTCAATTTTATCATTTAAAAACCAATATAAGCCCTTTGGCGTCTGGAGATGATATTGTATGATTTGTTGTCGGATCCGATAACAATATAACATGTAGGTTAAAACTTAGAGGGTTCGTCGCTTAAGTATTTCTTTAAACAGCAATTTGAAGGAGGGTTTTTTTTGGCTTTTTGCATATATCGCTTATTCCGGTAGGCTGTTCCATATATTTTCAACTCTGTTATTAAATAAGCTCTTCGCGGTACTGAGCCTTGACCGTCGTTTCATTATTTTTTTTTTCGAGTGTCCTCTATTAGCGTTAACAGGAGTCATAGTGAACAATCTTTCATTGTTCACAACATCGTTACTGTTCATGATTTTGTAGACTTGAACAATGTCCGACTGGTTTCTTCTATAATGTAGACTTGGTAAGCCAAGTGACCAGGGCCTTTGTTAATATGGCTAGTCAGCTAAGCCGTGCACTCTCTCGGTGGCTCTCCTCTGGTAGTTTTCAATCATAACTTGATCCTTGTTAAGCATTGGACTCAAAATTCAAGATGCATATTCCAGATGAGGTCTAATCAGTGTTTTGTACAGACTTATGAACATTTTCAAATAAGGTGAACGTTTTGAATATCACGCCGTCTAATGTATTAGCTTTTGAGACACAAATGCTAATATTGACTGAATTTGAGTTTGTCATCAAAGGTAATTCTCATGTCCTTTTCCGAATGACATCTTGTGATTGTTTCATTTCGTCCTTGATTTTGATTTATGTTAAGAAAGTTTGTCATAGACACAGGTGGCTGATGGGGTGTAATTGTAAGGGAGGTAACTCTTACAAGGCAATGTTGTGACCAAGGTATGATGTGCTCAACACGTCTAAATACAAAGACTGTTTACTCCGATTTTAACAATGAAATAAAATTGATAAATATAATAACTATTACGCAATGTTACCTTCTAAGCATGCTGATATAGATACCAGATTAACTTTTATGTCTTTTTTTTCTAATCGAGATCATTACCAACATAGCAGACAAAATGGCGGTCTTTCAAAGGAATTTATAGGGTTTTAGAACATACCTGATATTTGATATCTAAATATGAATTATGGCCACGAGGTATAATTCTACTTTGAGACAAGTAGTGCATCATCTCAACATTAAAACATTGTTAGCAGCCATGAAAACTTCTGCTTGTATTTACACATTAATTTTAAAAAAAATCACATCAATAAATCTGCTGGTTTCATAATGGCAGATGTCACAGGCAGCACTCTATTGCGACCCGACATTTTTGTCCCGGGTCTATAGACTTCTGTATATCATATCATATTGAAAACTTGGTGATAGTTACAACATGACAACTTTAAAGTTGGAGCCTACTATTCCGTAATTAGAGAAGCAAACAATTCAATTTGGCGATAACGGTTATTCGATGCCAACTGAAAATACAGGTACATTGAAAACTGAAACTAGATGCCAACTGAAAATACGGGTACATTGAAAACTGAAACTAGATGCCAACTGAAAATACAGGTACATTGAAAACTGAAACTAGATGCCAACTGAAAATACAGGTACATTGAAAACTGAAACTAAATGACAACTGAAAATACAGGTACATTGAAAACTGAAACTAAATGACAACTGAAAATACAGGTACATTGAAAACTGAAACTAAATGACCAACTGAAAATACAGGTACATTGAAAACTGAAACTAGATGCCAACTGAAAATACAGGTACATTGAAAACTGAAACTAAATGACAACTGAAAATACAGGTACATTGAAAACTGAAACTAGATGCCAACTGAAAATACAGGTACATTGAAAACTGAAACTAAATGACAACTGAAAATACAGGTACATTGAAAACTGAAACTAAATGACAACTGAAAATACAGGTACATTGAAAACTGAAACTAGATGCCAACTGAAAATACAGGTACATTGAAAACTGAAACTAAATGACAACTGAAAATACAGGTACATTGAAAACTGAAACTAAATGACAACTGAAAATACAGGTACATTGAAAACTGAAACTAGATGCCAACTGAAATTACAGGTACATTGAGAACTGAAACAAAATGACAACTGAAAATACAGGTACATTGAAAGCTGAAGCTAGATGACAACTGAAAATACAGGTACATTGAAAACTGAAACTAGATGATAACTGAAAATACAGGTACATTGAAAACTGAAACTAGATGACAACTGAAAATACAGGTACATTGAAAACTGAAACTAAATGACAACTGAAAATACAGGTACATTGAAAACTGAAACTAGATGCCAACTGAAAATACAGGTACATTGAAAACTGAAACTAGATGCCAACTGCAAAACGGTGATACTCGACAACAAGAATATAGTTACATAGGAAACTTGTTGGAGATAATAGAAATCACTTCAACTATAAGTGATTTAATTCTTACTCTGATAATCACTATGGTGATTACTGTAGCTCGGTGACACCTACAACATATTGACCACTGAAACAAGTTGATATCTACATTAATGTTGTATTGCAAATTTTGTGACAGCTAGATTATAGTTATGTCTATGGATGCTAAGGAGTTAATAAACAGTCCGGCATAATCTTTCAGCGCAGACTTTTGGACAATGATTAATAATGATATATCGTTACACTTGGGACTTGATTTCAGAATGGTCTTGGCTTTGGTGTCGTCAAACCGTAAATGTATTCTGGTGTTATTTCTTCTACCAAGGGATTCCACAGGGATATTGGCGCCAACCAATGATACTTATTAGATCTATGCAAGAACTGACTTTTCTCAACTTTTACATTCTTTCCTATTTTCCTCTTAGTCATTTAATAACAAGGGAATCACGCGTGCGCACTGCAAGAAAAATCTAACCAGAACTTTCTAAATAGCTTCAACTGTCAGTATCCAAGATGATCTCCGATCAGCCATTTTGTTTTCTTGAGACGACCAAAATTTGAATGGGCATAATTAAGGACGATGGAAACAAAATCAACAAGATTGAGAAATAGATCTATATAACTTCTAAAGAAATAACGGTAATAAACTTCAACTGTCAGAATTCAAGATGGCTAAATGTCGGACATTTTTCTTGGCTGATCAGTCTCAAATTGTCTGATTGACAAGTTGTGAGGTTCATGTTGAAGGGTTTGACGTTTGGCAAATATTGCCACAAACCATTTCACTGAAGCATATGGCGGGGTATATTATCGTTATGGATATCCTTTCAAGCTACACCTTTCAGCTATTATGTTCATCTTGCAAAAGTCACTTGTTTCAATTCAATACAGTCGAACTCAACACTGATACACACTTCAGGGTTAAACTTTGTCAATTACAACTTTAAAGAGCTGCTCGAAAAAAAAAAGAAACATGTTTCAGCAAAACGTGTTTACACTTTGAACAAAATTCTACAGATTATCTCTGGCTAATTGAAAGTTGAGAACCTAATTATTATAAATTTCGAAAAAAAAACCCATCTTCTTAAACACAAATAAAGCCAAAATGATCAGGAGATTACATGGGTGTATAACCCACAGTAAATTGACTCGGACTCGTGGACAGCGGACGTACATGCAGGTGAAGACCAGTTATCTCGGCCACTGAATCACGGAAGTGGCGATGTAAATCATGTCGTTAATTCATATCATAATATGTAAATTAATGGAATGTATTCTGTACGCTTACAAACATGCATGAGGCCGTTTTCATCCTCACGCACTTAAGACGGCATGACAAAAACAGTCATAGGTTAAAAACAATACTCGTGATCCAAAACTGATCAATTCAAAGTAGACGACATTAAAAGGATGAAGCTAGTGACTTCTGATAATCAGCGGTCGGACCTACAGAACGCTGGACGAAGGTTGCTTACAATGACATCATGGTATATTTGACAGGTTTTGCAATCGACAGCAGTTGATACGAAATCTCGTGCAGTACTGTCATTTCTATAAAATCTCAATTGTCACTATTTATGTCATCCAATTAAAAAAGAGTATCTATGACATCATGATTTTAGGCAAAATACAATTAGCACAAAACAGAAACCAGTATATGTCTACAATATACCTAGTTATCAAAGTAAGGAATACAGATATACAATAGATTCATAATCATGTATCTTTAGAATTACTATCGATCATGTCTACACTAGGAGTCTTGTCGATGTGACAAATCGACCCCTACTTTAATAGAACAATATCGATACCATTGGCAGGAACATGATACACCATTAATAAGCATATTTCATTTCACGTAGATGTTTTATACCCTACACGTGTTTTCCCAATTACCATGGCAACTTTTAGCATGGACGCTACTCTCCTCACACCTGTGACGTTGCTATTGTCAACAGCACCGACAGCAGCGGGTACCTGGTGCCATCACTGACGAACGCTGTCACCATTACCACACCATCAGTAAGCACCTTTAAAGGACTTTCCAACTGTTCAAGTCAGACTTTTGAAAAGGGTTTTAAAGTCAAAGACTCCGTCTTGTAGGACAAGCAGTGTACTTTATTGCAGGACTAACCAGTGAAAGTGACCAGGGATGACTTCAATGGGCGAAGAGTTGAATGCTGTAGTACTGGACAATGGGTCAGGAATGTGTAAGGCTGGGTTTGCTGGGGACGACGCCCCTCGAAGCGTGTTTCCATCCATGGTCGGCAGACCTAGGCACCAGGTACGACATTACTGAAGATTTTCCACCCTAAATCTAATGACTCAAAGTATGCTTTCGTTTATTAAAGTCAATTTTGAAAAGTATCACTGTCGTCAAACGATATTTTAACGGTAACAAGTACATCCGTATTCATTAATTTATTTTTCTTCCTTCATTATCACTAAGATTTTTTAGTTGTGACTATAACCCATTCATGATGTCATAATAAAACTATTATTTGTGTTTCTGTCAAATAGAAATTTCTTTATATAAACGAGTATTACATGATAAAACATAACGATAGCTTTTTATGTACATAGCAAGTCATATATGACAAATAGTGACGTGCCCGTAGAAAAAAATACATTTTGTCGTTGCCAGCAAGCGAGTCCAATGTGCAACGTTTGAGGCCAAGATAATTTCATAAATTGTAGACGAAATGTTTGGACAACAGACAATAACAGTATGTATATAGCATAATCGTATATTAGCTAAGCTTACGGACACACATATAGATAGATACACCGGTAGTGTAATCTCGGGCGTGGTTTCATGATACCCGATGTCGCTGTATTGATTTGTCATGGCAGAGTACGAACAGTTTGGTATTGTATTTCATACAGCTTCTTGTATCACCCGACAATGTGAGATTCGTACACAACGAAAACAAAAGCTCTAAATGAGCAATAGAAACGGCAGAGAACAAGGTATTAGATATCAGAACAGTTATCAGTACTTTTCATTTAAAATGAAACGTAATATATAATCAAGACACGGATAATCCATGAACATTATGAGTCGTTAATGAGTTTGTACATGTAATATTTTATCAACGAAGATGGACTAATTAAAAACTATATAGCTCTCTTATTTAAGAAATACTTATTTAAAGTTAATTTTATTTAGAAAAGAAATAAAAGGAAGATTTTTGTATATAAACAACATTTGTAACCTTAGATATATCCATACCAACTAGAAGACACTGAATTTAGTAACTTTCAATTTCTTTGTAAGATTAAGGTCGCCACATTGTTTATGACATCAACAAAAGTGACATATCTTTTTAAAAATAAATACGTTTTCGTAGCTTTGTCATTTCTGTCAGAAAATGTTGAATTTACGAACCTTAATTCTCAATCGGTAAAAAAAATATGACGACCACTTAGACTTCAGTAAAGATATAAAATAGCACAAATCTGTTTCCGTAGTAACCAATACGGTAATTTCTTATGTTACAGGGTGTCATGATTGGGATGGGACAGAAGGATTCGTACGTCGGCGACGAAGCACAGAGTAAAAGAGGTGTGCTTACTCTTAAGTACCCAATTGAGCACGGTATCGTCACAAATTGGGACGATATGGAAAAGGTATGGCACCATACGTTCTACAACGAACTCCGTGTGGCACCTGATGAACATCCTGTACTGATGACAGAGGCGCCGTTGAATCCAAAGGGCAATCGCGAAAAGATGACACAGATTATGTTCGAGACATTTAACACACCGGCGTTTTACGTAGCCATCCAGGCCGTGCTGTCTCTGTACGCCTCGGGCCGAACCACAGGAATAGTGCTAGATTCTGGGGATGGTGTCACACATACCGTGCCAATCTATGAAGGATACGCTCTGCCTCACGCCATCCTGAGGATCGACCTCGCCGGAAGGGATCTCACCGACTATTTGATGAAAATCATGACGGAGCGAGGCTATTCCTTCACAACCACCGCCGAAAGAGAAATCGTCAGGGACATCAAGGAGAAATTATGCTACATTGCACTTGATTTTGACGAGGATATGGTGTCGTCTGCTACTTCTAAAGAAATGGAGAGGACATATGAACTACCAGACGGTCAGGTTATCAGCATTGGTAATGAGAGGTTCCGATGTCCAGAAGCAATGTTCCAACCTTCATTTATCGGTATGGAAATGGCGGGAATGCACGAATCCACCTACAATTCTATACTTAAATGTGATGTTGACATCCGGAAAGATCTGTACTCCAATATCGTATTATCTGGTGGCTCCACAATGTTCCCCGGTGTAGCAGACCGCATGAGTAAGGAAGTTGCATCCTTGGCACCGGAACTCATCAAGGTGAAGGTGGTGGCGCCACCTGAGCGGAAGTACTCGGTATGGATAGGAGGATCGATCCTTGCATCGCTGTCGACATTTGAACAGATGTGGATAAGCAAACAGGAGTACAACGAGGCAGGAGCCGGCATCATCCATAGAAAATGCTTCTAGCATATCAGTGTATATGTACTTTTATTTTTTGTATCTTTGTACCAGAAATATTCCTAAATTCAACAAGTCTTTGAAAATAAACTCATGCTGTCGTATAAAGGCCTGTGTTTTCTGGTGCCATCGCTCGCAACGAAAGAATTTTTTTTCAAAAAACTTTAATAAGATGGAAATGTAGTTAGCCAATCCTACTTTCTGTTTACTCTGAAACCATGTTGTTTTCGACTGAGAGCTTACGCTTTCTCGTTCTGCAACACCTTCGGACATGTTCTATATTGCACGAAATCTTAAACTAGCGTCAAGGCTCGGACCAACACACCAACCAACAATATATTGGGCAGTTCTGTCAATGCTCAGAATCAAACACGCCTATCGCAACATATCAAGTGGTCAAATATTGGCGGCGATAGTCCGTTTTGGAGTGAGGTAACGCGAAAAACATGCACGATTTCTCAAGCTCTTCAGACTATCTGCTCCTGAAAATATCCCGTGTCGGACTTTGAAAAGGATTTCTATTAAATCAAGATATAGATACTTTACATTATGGTTTTCAAACTTTTGAATGAACACACACGTTTTACCATCCATTACAGCAGTATCAGTCAACCGTTAAAACTCGTGTTCGATAAGTCTGCCCACTGGAAGTGTCTATGGTACCTGGAGAAATCGGTGTTTTACTTAATAATTGCCTCCAAATCGGACAATCACCGGCATTTTTGTATTTGCAAACAAATTTACCAGTACATGTACACATGAAGTACACATTGAAGCCCAGGTCTGAGGCAACATACCAAAGACAGCACAGCCAATTACACCGATATCAGATAGGCCTAGTACCGCTCATAGTCTTTATTCATTTGATTCCTATCTAGAATTAGAATTTACTGTGAATGACAAGAGTTTCTAAAACAATTATATCGACATAGCATCGAAAAATAGCAACATTTCATCTTCAAGCTGAAACTAAGAAAGACTCACCAGTGAATTTTAGTAAATAACCCTAGTACAAAAACATTGTCAGCGAATTACATGGGGTAACAGAAATGAACATGCCGTAAATTTAACTGGCCTGTCGCACATCACTGCATGACAACGGCGTTTTCCATAAAGCAACTGATACAAGTGATAGATTTACGACGTTTTTGACGGAACAAGCAGTTAATGGACGCCATGAACGTCCAATTCATCATGTTGAGACTGATTGGAAAGGTAACTCGAGGTCGCAATTTCAAATTCTAGATTGAAAAAAAAAAAGGAAAGAAAATAAAAAAGAAAGAAAATCATTCAAATGACCGTACTGCACATGAAAAACTATCCATTCAGGTCCGTTCTTACGTACTTAAAAGAATGAGAGCATCTACCAATAAACAGATTATCAGGGTCTGATTCAGGGTTATTTTTTTTATAAATAGTAACGTACTATGTCCCCAGTTCACTTGAAGAGTCATAGACCTACAAGAGCGTGTGATGATGAAATTACTGTTCACTGTTTCCGCACAAAAATTGGTCATTTGACCAATTTCAGTGAGGGGGCAATTGACTTTTCAATGCTAGTCCTACAACATGATTCATTCCTGCCCGTTCCCAATTGGAATGGCGAGATGGGCCGGGGAATGTCAATGTACAGGTATTGGTGGACACTGTCGGTACAATGACATTAGGTATCAAATCGTCCAACCGACGGCCTCTCGTTGCAGAACAGACGTCCTACTACATCACATCTGACGCCATTCAAGCCGATTATTGGCTGGCTTTAAACTGAACATATATACATCCTCAAAATATTTTATCAACTATTGTGAAGACCAGATTTAAATCTTAAATTAGCACTTGTTTTAGATTAGTCAAAATCCATATTAGCAGATATGTACACATGCAGTTATTTAAATACCTTCCATTCCCTGGACAAATGACACATACTTTTCAAATTATCCATTATGAAGTAGTCTAGTGGGCTTCGATGTAAGCAATATTGAATTTAAAGTTGTAGTGTAAGCCGATTTTAAGAGTCACGGAAAGAAATTGCGATATTAGTAATTGTAAGACTTAAGTTATATTTTAAGCCCGTGGGGGTCAGCCAATGTCATATATGTATATGCATACCACCAAAACTGTCATCAAATACTATCAATTCTTACCAAAATACATAAAAAAAACATCATGGCAACATAATGATAACTCAAACTCTATAAAACTAGGGCAAAATATGAACAAAAGGAAGATTTACACGGGAACTATTGAAAAAGTAGAAGAACAACACCAGGTGTTCCAGAAGAGAACAAGCGTCTTCTGCTTCAAGTAATATTCTAGTCATTCTAAGATTTGACCTCAAACTAATTGCAAAAGAATTGCTGGTTTTTTTGTTTTTTGTTTTGTATTGTACAGAACACGAATTACTTGAAAACATATTAAAAGTGTAGAGAAATCTAAACAAGGGAACATTTGATAAATCATACAAATTACAACGAAATACCGCTATCGAGTTGTACGTCATGTTTGGGCCTCCGTAGGTGCAAAGGGAGATAACACGGACACTGTTTTATCGTACGGGATCCAGAACATATTCCGACAGATAATGGCATCACTATAGAGAGACATGTCGGTAAGTGGTTAAATATTTCTCATCACAATATTTCATACTTGTATGACATGATTTACTTGAGTTTTCATTTATAAATTCTGCAAATTCATTGTTGTATTTAAAATTTGGACGGGGCATTGCATAGCGATGGATTTGTTTACAAATTACAAAATTTCAGTACGGGCGATTTAAATGGTTTTATATTGTAATTGGATTATTAAGAAGTACTGTATTTTAATCAGTAATCTAATTATCGTATACTGCTTTGTTGTTGTTTTTTGTTCGAAATCGAAACGATTGTACTGCCACGTTCTCAGACGAGAACGAGGTATACAACGGAACCGACAGGCAAACTAAAGAGCATCAAATACGTCCAGTTTCACGTCGCACGAAGAAATAGAATATTTTTCAACGAGGTCATTATGGTGACCATAAAACTTAACAATAATTTTTATTAACCTGTAGCTTTTGAACAAAGTTATTTCCAACGAAAACTAAAACTTTACTCACAACAAAAGATCTCGCAGGGATCTTGGCACCAACCATTGTTTCAACTTTTTTTTGTTCATTGAAATTTGGATCTTTTCCGTTTTTTGCTCGTAATGACAAGAAATTGGAAAATTTCTTTGCAGAAACGGCGATAACCTTTCACTGCAAAATCCAAGATGGTAACCTGAAAGCCTTTTGGTTTTTTCTGATCATTTCTAAAATCAAACCGACACAACTAGGGACCAAGGGAATCTACATGAAATCTGAGAAAGATCCATCCAGCATTTCTCAAGAAATAGCCATAACAAGCTTGCAAAATCAAAATTAAAGATGGCGTCTGTTGACCATTTTGTTTTTCTGATCAGGCCCAAAATCAAACGTGCACAACTAAGGACCAAAGGGAACATACAAATGAAATTTATGAAATATCCATCCAGAATGTCACAAGAAATAGCGATAACAAATAAATTGTTTACCTATGGGTGACAGATGTTGGGCGGTTTGAATAGACCAAAATCCAATGATAGTGGGCTAAAAATCAAATTTTCCTATATAAACTTTAGTAAAATTCACCCCCTCCCTAGAAGGAAATGCGAAACCCTCTGGTAATGAAATCACAACTTTGGTAAAGCATGTGATTACCTTTTCATCACCATTTTAGTTTATCTGTAACCCGAGAGGTTTCTGCACAATTTCATTGAAATCCGTCGATGCGTTTCTGAAAAGTGACCTTAATATTGGTAAATTATAAAATGCAAATAACTTGTTGCATGTATAGCTTGGAAATTTAACCCTTAAACTAAATTAAGGCCAAAGAGGTTCCACAGATGACAACATCACCGCTGACAGATATACAACATACACTTTTATTTTTAATGCCAAGCCTCTTGTTTATTCAGACATTACACAATGTGAATCTTGAGCAACTGTGGCATGTCCAGTACTGCACTGGTCGTTATCAATAGATCTTCTGTTCCTGACGCTGGACACTGGAGCCAGTTGTGTGTACCTTGGACAGATAATCGGTAAACTCCTGGTAGGGAGACTTTGTGAACACAGTCTCCTTCCACAGGTCTGGGGTCAAGTAGGCGTAGGTATTGGCAATGGCAGCATAAGTAGCCTTAGCTGTAATGAAATATAACCAGAAAGTTATAAAAAAGTCAACCAGACACTCGTAATATGGAAGAAAATATAGAAATCAAAACTTTCCCTTTAAATGTGGATTCTCTGTTACGAAATGTAGCTACAGTTTAAACATTCTTAATTACAATTCCAAAAACTAGAAATTATGTAGTCCACTAGCCCTTGCCTTGACTAAGGTTTCACAAATCAAACGAGAAACTTACCAAAATTTCCAAGTGTAGCTGTGCAACCTCTGGCACTGGTGTAACAATCCTCAATACCAGCCATGTTCAATAGCTTCTTGGGGACAGGAGCACTGACTATTCCTGTACCACGTGGAGCAGGAATAAGTCGCACTGTGACACTTCCACACTTCCCAGTCACCTGGAATCAGTTACAGGAGAAGATACAGACACATCGTTACGCTTCATTTATAATAAAAATTTCAACGCTCTGGTTCTACTCTCTGGTTTTTGTCAGGTAAAATTTTAAATGGACAAAATATGCCAAGATATGTGGTCTACAGATCCTTCTCATCACAACTTTTGTACTTGTTTCTTGAGTAAAGAAATTACCTTGCAAGGTACTGTATGTGGTTTTCCAATCTTGTTACCCCAATAACCTCTGCGCACTGGTATAACAGAAAGCTTGGCTAGAACAATAGCCCCTCGAATTGCAGTTGCAACTTCCTTTGAGCACTTTACTCCCAGGCCAACATGGCCATTGTGGTCTCCGATGGCAACAAAAGCCTGCAAATACACAACACCAACTTTCATGAACCAAGGATATTGAGTTTTCTGCCAAAAGAATGCTGTTTGGTTGGGAATATTTCAGCTATTTGTTAGTTTCCAAATTCCACTGTTTTTCAAAATTCAGTTGTCATATTACATAATGAGCAACAAAAATAAACAATCAAGACTGAAGATTGATCTATTCAACATTATTTACCTTGAACCTGGTCCTTTGACCGGCCCTGGTCTGTTTCTGTACAGGCATAATCTTGAGCACTTCATCCTTAAGTGCAGACCCAAGGAAGAAATCAATGATTTCGAACTCCTAAAAACGAACAGAAATATTGTGATTAGTTTCATGAGCAAAGGTCAAGATAACCTAGTATTTGTGTATTTTATACTAGGCGAGTTTTACTACATGAAAGACATCTGCAATGTATGCCGAACTAATCGTATTGTGTTTGTATGCATATCGTATACCTAATCATACAATGGTAGGAAGTTAAATTTGTCCTTTTAGCCACGATTGTATTCAGACACATATTAGTTTTGAAGTTAAATGAGTTTCCTTTGGGGTCAGATGTTTACAAATTAGATATCTTCTGTCTACAATTTGTTAACAATTGAATTCCTTTCCCCATGCCACGTCCACAAGCGTATGTTATGTCTTTAGTGCTTTGATATTAACCTTGATTGGTAAGGAAAACAGATAAATCTCCTCCAGAGATTTGATCTTCAGATCCTTCACTAAACGTCCTAGTTTAGTCACAGGCATCCATTCCTTCTCCTCCTTTGCCCCACGACCACGTCCCCTTCCCCTGCCACGCCCACGTCCACGACCGCGGCCCCTCCCACGTTCGCCAGACCCGAATCCTCCTCTAAATCCCCCACGTCCACCGGCTGGTGCTGCGTCCGCCATTGGTGATCAGCTGCAATGAAATTTAGATTATTAGCTAGTTCTCAGCAATTAGTTGGTAAAAAACTATGGAACCGTATAATAAGACATCTGGTTATCATTAGAAAAGTAAAATGTGTTCATTTTATTGATGATTGTTGTGCCATCGATGGATTTTTAGGAGTACTTTGCAATGGCATGTTGTAGCTTACGTGATTAAACCGGAAAAGGAAGTTGAAAAGGTTGGTATCGCAAACAATCGTTGTATCCGAGATTCCACGAGATTCGAGATGGAGAAACGAAAGATATGGACTGTCAAACTAAAACAAACATGAATTTCTTCGACATTGTCTAGCTTATTGTTACTGTATATATATTATGGAAGATTTTATGGTAAGTCGTATGCAAACTTTATAACTGTGTTTGAAATAATTGATTTCAGTGTCACAAGCTATGCAATATTGTAAGAGATTGAAGAGAAGTTTCGGCTAAATCTTCGTATGAAAGTTATCATTGAAAGTGTATATATGTATCGTCCATGTCCAAACGGTTGGGCCATATAGTTTTCCAGCGTTGTTTTGTCCTCGCTCAAAATGAGTGGGAGTAGTATAAGCAAGTTCATGGACAAAGTATGATATGTTTCCTCAGGGACGTATAATGCATATTATACGTCCCTGCTTTCATTAAATGTGGAGATAAGTTTTGCAATTATTTTTTCCGACAATTACATATACTGTATGCACTGTACAGTAAGTATTATACAATTGCTTTTCAAATGATTGCCCAGTTTGAAAGCAGGTACTTCTCTTTGTCGGGAAAACACTTAACAATATCCGTCCAGAGAAATGAAATGTGATGATATGTATTTGGTTATCCCAGTATCACCAGCATACAAATGTATCAACTTCCTTATGGATTTAAGTTAAGGTCTTTTCTACGCACTGGTACATTGAAGGGTACTGGAGTTAAGTTACTGGGACTCGTACTAGATCTGACTAAGCAATGACTATTGAGTGACTGTATAATAGAAGTATCTGGCACTTGAACAAAGTCACAACCATGAACAAGTCCAATTACATCTTGAGTGCATGAATGGAGGATAAAGTTGGGTAATTTGCTGATAACTAAATATGACAGGTAACTGACAGCATGCATATTGTTAAGAATTTTGAAAAAGGAAGAGCTCAGAGGAAATATATTTAAAGGTATTATGATTTTTTTCAGTTAATATCTAAAGATGATCCAGGTTATAATGGAACATAGTGAGAATACCTCTTTATCTTTAATGTTTTAAAAAATGAGCTTGGAGAAATAAATGTAAATTCATAGATATCAAGATTTGAAACTGTTATGATACAGTACATTGGAACAGTGCCCCGCTTGTACCAGCACCATGTATCATAAAAGAAATGGGTAATGAGAAATACCCTTTTCCTGCTGGGACTTAAGCTATCAACCTCTCTCAAGGTTACTTCCTACCTGTATGTTAAAGGGAAATTCTGACAAGTGAAGACTAGTGAATTAACCAGTATGCTTCTTTTATACTTCTCTCACCAGTTTCATTTATATTTTCTTTCCTATTGTAGAAATTCAGAGTACAGGTTACTGTACCAGCCTTGGTTAAGGGAAATTTCCTTTAAACAAGTGGTAAAATGTCCAGGTAGAGACAAAAGGGTTGCTAAGTTCAAACCCCAGAAAGGGCAGAGTATTTCTCAATACTTCTTCCTATTGTATACAATACTCTTTATCTTTTGAGTCAGTAATAGCTTACAGAAATTGGTAGCTCTCCTGGGGACTGACAGTACTGGGTAAAACAGGGAGGTTGTTTTAATTTTCAACAGGAAAAAGATGATCACTTTTCCTTCTCAAGCCTTCAACCCATTGAATAGATGAGTGTATGCTTATTATTATAAATGTTTTTCATGTGTGACAACTTTACTTGAAGTCTGATTCAAAGCAGGCAGATGGAATTTTAGGATTTTAGTAAAAACTCTATTAAAAGTCAAACACGATGGTAGATATAAAACTTAACATTAACTTTAGTATACCTCTTGATTCCGTTGTTGTATACCTTGTTTTCATTTGAGAATGTGTCCTTAATTACTTTGATTAATCAAGGTTTACATTGTGAGTGTCGTTGATGAAGGAACAGTCGCTTATTCTTTGAGAACGTCTGATCTTATTCTCCTTGTTCCTTTCAGGACTTCCGTGTAAACCTTTTGTGCATATTTTGCGCTAGTTTTATCAAATTTGAGTTTTGATTATGATTATGTTGACATGTTGGTATTTTCTTGTTGTTTTAATCACAATTAAAGGAAAATTAATATTTACTGGGAGCCATGACGTTTCTTGTGAATGCGTGAAAATTCTTACCTAAAGTTGAACCACTTCTATTGACGAGGCCTTGTTTGTATTGGAGCTGTTGTTTCATTCGGAGAATATTGGTATACAGGTTGAAATATTCTGTTTTTCTTCTTCCAAACATAGATATATATTCTTCTATATTTGTTTCTGAAGTGTAGCAGTATGTTGACAGGACTGAAAATCTTTAACACTGCAGTACAAAGAAGGAAATCACTCTACAATTTGTTGTGAATCCTGTTACATCTATTTTAATAAATGGTGCCCAGTCGTTACAGCAGTTTGACATATATCTTGGTTGACCATAATCAGTAGAGGTCATCACAAAAGTAATCATGGTCTGGATGATTATTCAAAACATTTTCATTTTGCAGGTTTGAATTAAACAAAATGACAGAAGTAGTGGAAGATTTGACTCTCAAGGACATGGATCCAGAGGTGACGTTTTCTTTTCTCTTTGTTTGTAAATTTATCTTTTTTATTGCATCCTGAACAAAACCTTGTAGGAACCATTGTGTTTGAGAGTACTCTTGTTGTAACATTTTATAGTCAGTCAGATTGATCACAACAATTCATCACAATTAGGTGAAACAGTGAGTACTGATGTTCAGGTATCTGAGATTTCAAAAACGGAGAAATTTCAATACAGTATTTATCCTCTGATCTTTTGATCAGTATTTGTCTAAACGTCTTTTCTACAATCATTGTCTACCCTTCACCAATTCCATAAATAATAAGATGTTCTGGTATACCAAGGTATAACCATTAAAAATGGAAACTGTCATAAAAAACAGCACAGTTTTGGCAGATTACCAAGATGATATTGGTGCAAAACAACTAAATAGTTATTCAGCTAATGTACAGAGATGTAACAAAACTTCTGTTACCTGTTTAAAGGATAATTTTGGGGAAGAAAGCAAAATGCGAAGTTTGATGCATTTTCTACAACAAAATAAAATGAAATTCTGTCTGTTTTTATTTTACAGGTTAACCTTAATATGACAACTTCAAAATTAAACCTCAAGTAAAGTAGTTGATTTTAATATTCAGTGTTACAGTTTTCCTGAATATTTTTAAATACCTTAGTTTGGCTTAATTTAAAAAAGTTGATATTAATCAGCATTTTATTGAAAGAACTTCTGGGATATGAGTATTTGTTGATATATAGAAAAAAATTATCAATAGATACCTGGGTACATGTAGCAACAATATCAAAGGTGAAAGTGAAGAGGTCAGTCACTTTTGAGTGCTCTACAAAGTTGATCAGTGATTCCATTTCGCTCTTGAAACTGAGGGTACAGTGTATCCCTAACAATGTATTTACATAAAAGAGTGCTTGCGAGTCATGGGTACAAGCGTCAAATTTCATCTCTACTCCCAATAGTCCCTAGTTACACATTGTCCATTATAGGACTGTTTAGAAACACAAAATGTCTGCTTGGCAGCCTTCTTGGATAATGACTAGTGCAGATGGTTATCTTTCTTTTTTGAAAAATGCTGGATAGATAATTTTCAAATTTGATTTGCATGTTTCTCTTGGTCTCTAGGTGTGCATGTTTTATTTTCGGAGGGATGGGAAAAAGAAGAGTATAGAAGGGAATGGTAAAACTGATTAAGAAGCAGTAAAGATCATACGATGGTAGATGCCAAGATCTCACTCTGATTTCTATGTTAACTTATTTTAATTAGAAGGCAAACATATCTAAAAAAATCCTTCCTTTTTTTCTTCATTGTAGCTATGTTGACAGTTTCTGTTACGTCGCTATTAAAAGTTATTATACCGTATGGAAAATCCAATTTTTTAATGTCAAAGGTTTGTTATAAATTTTAGTGTATCAGAATGACACAATATTATATATTTCTTTTCCTTATGCCGTTAATTTCTTTTAAAGAAAAAAAATCTTTATCTTAAATCAGCTTGTACTTCCTATTTGATGTTCACTCCAGATCAGAATCCTGAATCTGAATCTCATTGTTCTGAAATATGAATAAGTGTTACAGAATTGCTATATGGATTGGCAGTACTTGTGATTAATTGTGCATATCACCATTTTTGTCTTGTTGTTATTCTTGTACTCAAGTAATTGTCTGGTCCAGCCAGCATCTGAATTAGTAGGTATAGTGTTAATGCTACAATGGTACACGTGTAGCTGCATGACTTACTACACTTTACTACATACTGATATAATTGTAAGCATACTTTGAACTACCTCGGTATTAGTAATATGGTAACAGTGAGATTCCTGGGCTTCGGACCTGGCAGTCAGCCAGATGTAGTCTGTCTGAAACATTCCTAACAGGTTTCATGTGCTGATTATAGTGATATGAAGAATCACAAACAGAAAAAAAAGTACATTTAGGGTCAAAGGTTATATCACAACCAGTGTCAGAGGTCATGGTGATTTAGACAAGCCCATAACATATCAAAGTCAAGATAAATGTCATTCTAATTAGAAAAAAATATAGAAACCAAAGGATGAGAAGCCTAAATAAAGACCACCATCCTTTGTTACACAGTTGAATACAGTAAAAGATGAAAAACTATTTACTTGGATAATATTTTGTAGTGTCAATATTACTAAAAATGAGCCGAACTTAATAAAAAAAATCAGGCAAAATTAAGAAGTAAGAAAAAGCAAAATGCTGAAATAACTTTTGATATTGATTTACTTTTTAGAAAACTAAATCGAGATTCAAATTTGAAAAATGAACAAAATAGATAAAAAGAAACGGAAAATAAATATTCATTGTACAGTGTTAATATTTTTCTATCAATTTTAAAAAATCATAATATACTATCATTTATGTATATATGGAAAATACAAGGAGAACACAAATAAAAAAAATAATGAAAATGTTCGTGCTATTTATATAATTTGTTTGTGATCTGAAAAAGATATAAGAAATTTGTCACTGATTATATTTTTTTGTAATGTCCACAGAAGGAAACACTATTCTTCCAGTTTGATGCCTCCACAGTACCAGATGAGATGGCTGAGGTGATGAAGGCTATCAAGGAGGTGGGCCACTTATTATCAATCTTGATTTCCTTCATACAAATAACCTGTTAATTACAAATAACCTGTTAATTACAAATAATGTGTTAATAATTTCAGTTAAACCACACATTTCTGTGTTGTGAAATCAGAAAGTGTAATAAATAGGTCATCCTTTTAGCTTGAAGTACATGACAGGTTTCTAGATATAACAACTTGTAGAGTTAATTACCTTATTCAATGATTGAAATGACTCTTACATTATGTAAGATATGGTATTTCCATAATATTTATACAAAGATGGATTCAAAGACTGTACTAAAATAAATTGTGATTAATTGTAAGTGAAATGACTTATATGTGGAAAGTTAAGATATACATACACACATACACACACACACATATATATATATATTACATAAGTATTACTGCAAGGAAGAAAGTGAGTTTTACATTTTACTTCTAACTGTTAGTAATTACATACTTTGTGGTTTAACCATTAATTTGGGTCAAAGGGTAGCATGGCCAGATGGTTTGCCAGAACTACAAACCTGACATGTCCTTAATTGACCCTAGCTGTTAACTGGATGTTAAACAATAATTAACGAAACCTAATTGGTTCTGATTACTTGTTTCAGGATGCCTATAAATCTACTTCTTTGTAACTAGTTTTAGATGTTGACATTTTGCATGGAGTTCTTTAGATATCACAAATTGATGCTGTATGTATATTAAAAAAACCCTTATTTTCTTGACCTTTCGGGAATGTCATATTCTACAACCTGAATCTTTAGAAAATGATACATTTAGGTACTGTTCTGTGAGGTGAGAAGACATAAACATACAGTACATTTCACCAATTTTCTCTGGGATGATTAATTTTGTAATGAATAAATTCTAATATAATAGCATACTTATAATTTGATTTGTTTCATTTGATTTTAATTCATGTCATACACATATGGACTTAGTGATGATATTTTCTGTTTGCGTTTCTCTTTAAAGTTGGCAGAAAGCATGCTATTTCACTGGAAGACTTTCCCTATCATTCTGCCTCCTTCTATCACGGAAGTAGTGGGTGAACCTACTGTACCCAAGGATGGAGAAAAAGAAACCGCACATAAGGTGAATTCAGTTTGTTAAATTTTTACTGAGTTCCTGGATGTGTAGTTATTGACATAACAAGGATTTTCTCATAATAATTTTTACCAGATGCATACACTGACTTCTCCAGTTGAGTGAAAATTATTCTTAATATGTAAGGATTGGATAAGGATTGGATGCAAACAGTGTTTTAAAAGAATAGTGTAACGTAGTGAATGGTGTAACCCTGGTAAATACTAGCGGCAATATACCACTCAGCTAGAAGGAACTTCTCTTTAGCTTGATCACTTGAGCATCATACTAGTAAGCCAGAAGTCCTGGGTTCGAATTCTAGCGAAGGCATTGGAATATTATAATAATGAGCTCTGTTACAGTGGTGACATCACCTGATAAATATGACCAGTATAGATTAGATTGGTCTGGAAACCATTAGAGTAGATTAGTCTGGAAATGTTGAAACAGCAGGCATCAAAAAACCTAAACTCAATCACTGTGGCACATAAAGGCAACTGTGAGGTGATGTTAATTGATTTTGTAATGATAACATTGATTACATTTACAGGGTAAGATCAACTTTAATGACTTGTTCAAAGCACCGACATTTGATGAGTTAGACCAGGTAGCCTTGAATTCATCAGGTGAACTGAAGAAACTAACAGATAGACAACTACAGGATGTCTGGAATTACGGGTAATACATGATTAACTCTGGATTGTGGATAAAACCAAATTAACTGGTATTTTGATTAATACCGTATTTATTCCAATAAACGCCCCGTCTCTAATAAACCCCCCCCCCATCTGTTTTCTCAGTAAATTTCAACAACTCAGGAGTCAGGTTACAAAGCTTACCTTTTAATAAATTTTAAATTCCTGGTATCCATGAACATGAACAAATTAATTTTGGCACAAGAAAATTACACTGTCACAACATGTACACAAGTAATATCAATTTAATCCACGGTTCATTTCAATATACTGCAGGCCTAACGGCCGGGACTGCCGTACGAACTACTGTCTTCGCTTTCACTTTCGCCAGTCTCGCTTTCACTCAGTTCTATTTGTGGTATAAAAGGCGCGTTCACATCACCCATTAAATTTTGCAAAACGTCATCTGCAGCTTGGACATCCTTTTCACTAAACCCCTGGAATTCCTCATCGTCAGAATCATGCTGGAAAATATGATCCTCGCTACTGCTTAGCGAATTTGTGATACCACATTTTTTGAACGATCTTCTGATTGTGTCAGGGCTAATGCTATCCCATGCTGTCTTGACCCAAGACAACATTACAGCTTTAGATGGGGCTTAACGATTCCCTGCTTTGGATTTCTCAATGGGGCCACTGAAACACCATTCGTCATACAACTCTCCAAGTTTTTGTTTGAAGGGTTTATTCCACGACACATCGGCTGGATATAGCTTACATGTACATCCTCCGGGTATAACACAGATGTCTGAATTATATTTTTGATGAACCAGTTTTTTTACATCTTCAGTAAGATGACCACGGAAAGCGTCCCATACTAATAACCGCCTAGCTGTATTATACACACCCCAGAGTTTTTTTAACCAAAATTTTATACTTTCCTCGTTTGCCCAGGATTTTTGTCCGGCCCCGCACATGTATACCACAATACCACTTGGTATGTCATCTTTTGGAAGGGGACGAATGCCTGGCATGTGCACAAGGAGGGGCAATTTTAGTCCCATCGGCATATGTTGCCAGTGTCACCATTATTTTTTTGTTTTTCGTGGCCAGTACTGTAAACTCTGACCTCCTTTTCCCCCTTTATTGCCAATGTCGATTTTCCTGGCATGTCAAACCACACCGGGGTTTCGTCCATGTTGGCGATATGGCTATCGGGGTATTCTCGTAGCCGACGCATTCTTAACACGAAATTAAAAAAAACTGTCAATACGGTCATCAATTAATGAAACTTCATGTTGTGCCACATGCGTAGATCGCCTGAATGAAATGTTATGTCTCTTTTTGAATTTAGAAAACCATCCATATGAGGCTTTGAACAATTGACTACCATTTGCCTTATGCATACGCAGGGTCTCAAACCGCAATGCTTTCCCAGTCACATGTATTCCGGCCTCCCGTCTGTCCTGTAGCCATCTCATCAGATTTTTGTCAATATCTTCATATCTGACATGCCTCCCACCTCCTTTACAGCATTTAGATGTTTTAGAAAGATTTTTTAATTTTTCTTTGTTTTGACACCGGTCCTGCACTCGTTTTCTGTCAACACGAAACACTTTCGCGGCGACATGTTTACCCTTCACCTCTGCGAAGGCGATTACTTTAAGCTTGAAAGCAGTGTCGTAATTTCGTTTTGTCCCAGACATTGTTATCAGGTATGTGGGATTTATTAAGAAACAGACCGGCTTATATACCACTGTGTTTTTTTATTTTGTTATGCAAACTAGGCCTACAAGCGATGATGAACATTGTACGTTTTTGACTGAAGTTGACACGATTTCATACAAGAATTCAGGTTATCAGAATGCAATTGACAACAATGTTTAAAGCTACAACGATGTTGGAATTACTGCAATTTTCAAATGCATTCTTTGCTGAGTAATTCGTTAGTTTGTTAAACAATGTTTTTAAGTGGCAGCCATGGCATGTCACGACCAACAAATTATGAAATTTTGTGTTCTATTAATCGCCCCCTGTCTGAAAAATTTCATGCCCCCGGGCGTTCATTGGAATAAATATGGTATAGAATAAGTTGTAAAGCACAAATGAATTGTGTTGTAAAACTGTCAATATAGTTATTATTTTTGTCGAATATGAGAAGATCTCTTTCATGGCTTTTCTAAGATACATGTTATCAAGTACTACCATATTTCACCGCAAATAAACCCCCTCCCGCAAATAAGCCCCCCCCCCACCACTTTTTCCAATTTGCCAGGAATAGAGGGGTGTTCACAATTAAGCCCCCCTCTTTTTTTCGAAAAAAAAACGTGTGACGATAAAGCAGTACTTACATTTAATCGCCAGGTGTAATTATTGTGAACATGGGGGGTTGCCCGCATATAAGCCCCCTCCCCTCTTTTGACAGTCTTTTTTGAACTGGGTGTGGGGGCTTATTTGCGGTAAAATACGGTAAGTACCACCTTGCATTCTTTTGTATCAAGCACACAGTGTAGTAAGCTTACATTTCTTGTATTTGAAACATCATCTGAATTAAATCATGGTTTGTTTATGTTTCCTTTCACTTTCTTTGTGACAAATCTATGTTTGTTTGATTTAATGGCTAATAGTAACAGTAGGAAATTAGAGATGTTGGAAACAGTATAACCATTAGGGTTGTTATTTATATATGTGATCAGTAAGCCAGGTATAACTTTATCTATTATCCTCTTGTATAGTGATGCTAAAAAGTGTAAAACTGTTGAAAATTGGACAATGAAATGTTTTACAGACAATTTGAGGTGGAGAGTATCAACTTTCCAGGACAAGTACACAAGTGGAGACTGACCCGTCTGTTACAAAAAGGCTCCATGACTGCACAAGATTCACTGCTGAATGTAAGTCTCCAGATTTTGGTTTGCATTCAATGGATAGTCAATATATAATTCTCAGCTAATGGTGTTGTAAACACATCTAGTGGAAAAGTGATATCACTGTGTATAATATTAAGTCACTGTTTCTTGTTTACCAATGTTGAAATGTTTTCTAAGTTGAAGTATCAGGAATGTAGGGTGTTATAAAGTTATGCTTTAATTATAATTCGTACAAGGAAAGCAGCTAAACACTTGATAGTTCTAAATGCCATGAAGAAGAGTGTAGGAGATGATTTAAGCCCAAGAGGTGGGAAAGTTCTAACCAAGTCTATAGCTGTCATTCACTTCATTATAATACTGAATGTATGGGGTATTTTATTATCAATAGTTCTATTTGGAAAAAATGATAACATTTAATTGATTTTGTAACGTCGTTTACTCTTGTAAACAAGTTGGTTCATTGCACAAAATCACAGGACTAACTGGTTCACTAGCCATCATCACTGCCGATTAATATGTTCCAGAAAACTGCATTGGTTAAAACATGCTTAGTGTGTCTCAGATCTTTGAAACAGAAGCTACAAAAGTTCACCGCTGATTGCTTCTGTGATGATTATGGAGAATATTGATAAACCTATATATTAATTCAATAATATTATGGATACAATGTGCGTAAGATATCTTTCAGGTAGAAAAACAAGCTTTAAGCTAAATCATAAGGACCAGCAGGGTTTAATGTCATAAGATTAAACATGAAATTGGAAATTCATTGTATTTAGGTTTTGTGATCTTACTTCAAAAACATTCAGTTTGGTCAAAGTTTCCTTAGTCTGGTCAATTTTCCTAGTTTACCTAACAGGATGTGCTGATAAGAAATGTAAAGTTGGAAAGAAAATCAAAGTTTTGGTACTGCATGGACTATGTGTTTTAAGTTGAAAAAAAAATATGCTGCTCAAAAACAATCCAAGCATTACCAGACATTTGATCCAATGTCACTACATATTTTACCGGACTGACCAATATCCAGTAGTGCGACATAGTTTGGTAAACACTTTGTTGCATGACATGTCACTGATATTAAATGTTTTGTATATTTCAGGATATGGCACTGGTTTTGAGGTTGCTAATCATCACAGCCCGCAACAGATTTGTATCACACTTTTTCAGTGTGTCCAACTCTTTCAGAGGTCTGGGTATAGGCTTCATGAAGATATTAGGTAAGATATTGGATATTCCATCACTTAAGTCTTCCTACTCAACGACTATGTTTTTGTTGCCCTGTCGTGTGTTTTTGTAGCCCTGTCGTGTGTTTTTGTAGCACTGTCATGTGTTTTTGTAGCCCTGTCATGTGTTTTTGTAGCACTGTCGTGTGTTTTTGTAGCACTGTCATGTGTGTTTGTAGCCCTGTCGTGTTTTTGTAGCCCTGTCGTGTGTTTTTGTAGCCCTGTCTTGTATTTTTGTAGCACTGTCATGTGTTTTTGTAGCCCTGTCATGTGTTTTTGTAGCACTGTCGTGTGTTTTTGTAGCACTGTCATGTGTGTTTGTAGCCCTGTCGTGTGTTTTTGTAGCACTGTCATGTGTTTTTGTAGCCCTGCCATGTGTGTTTGTAGCACTGTCGTGTGTTTTTGTAGCCCAGTCATGTGTGTTTGTAGTCCTGCCATGTGTGTTTGTAGCACAGTCATGTGTGTTTGTAGCACTGTCGTGTGTTTTTGTAGCCCTGTCATGTGTGTTTGTAGCCCTTTCATGTGTGTTTGTAGCACTGCCATATGTTTTTGTAGCACTGTCATGTGTTTTTGTAGCCCTGTCGTGTTTTAGCCCTGTCGTAGCACTGTCATGTGTGTTGTGTTTTTGTAGCACTGTCATGTGTGTTTGTAGCCCTGTCGTGTGTTTTTGTAGCACTGTCGTGTGTTTTTGTAGCACTGTCATGTGTTTTTGTAGCCCTGCCATGTGTGTTTATAGCACTGTCGTGTGTTTTTGTAGCACTGTCATGTGTGTTAAGTGTTTTTGTAGCACTGTCGTGTGTTTTTGTAGCCTGCATGTGTGTTTGTAGCCCTGTCGTGTGTTTTTGTATGTGTTTTTGTAGCACTGTCATGTGTTTTTGTAGCCCTGCCATGTGTGTTTATAGCACTGTCGTGTGTTTTTGTAGCACTGTCATGTGTGTTTGTAGCCCTTTCATGTGTGTTTGTAGCACTGCCATATGTTTTTGTAGCACTGTCATGTGTTTTTGTAGCCCTGTCATGTGCAGGGTTTTCCATAAGAGCCGGTCACCGGCCAATTTCACCAGCTACTTTGATCATTTGGTCGCCTACACCAATCCAGTTCGGTAATAATGTTCCATACACAACTACACGTACACGGCAGGCCAGCCTCATACTATCACTACACAGCCTACTACTAACAAAATTATGGAAAACCCTGCATGTGTGTTTGTAGCACTGTCATGTGTGTTTGTAGCCCTGTCATGTGATTTTGTAGCACTATCATGACATATTTGTGAAAGAAGTAAAATGTTGTTCTAGTAGTAATGAAATTCCTGCTTTATTTTTGCCTTAGAATAACAGGGGCAATGTCTTTAACATTGGGCTAAAACTATATCACACAATTTTACTGTGTAAGTAGTGATAAAGGAATAGAATCCTGACTATTCTAGTTAATGGTGTTGTTATCTGTGAACATGCAGTGATAGTTGCCAAACACATACAGATTGTGGAAAAATCCAATTATTACATTACTTCCTTTCTTTCCAAAAATAGTCATAATGGACACTTTGATGATAATTATATTTGCCCCTTTTTAGGTCTCCTGAGCCAAAGGCTTATGGTGACCTATTGCCATCATGATTTGTCTGTCGTCGTGCGTTGTGCATCGTTAACTTTTCACATATTCGACTTCTTCTCAAGAACCACTGAATGGATTTTGACCAAACTTGGCACAAAGCATCAAAGCATCCCCATGGGAAGCCGCTTCAAGTTTGCGAAGAAAAAGTGCGTGGCCCAATAGGGGCCCAAGGAGGGGGAAAAAGGGGGTAAAATTAGGTAAATCATTAAAAATCTTCACAAACAGTCAGATTAAGTACATATTTGATATTTAGGGTCATTATGGCAAGGTTTACAAAGTTTGCGAATAAAAAAAAAATTGGGTCAAAAACGGCCCCACTAGGGGGCGCTCAAAAGGGTAGAAAATTCAACTTTGACCAATTTCAACCAAATTTGGTAGATAGCATCCCTTAAGGAAGGACATATGAAATTATATTGAAAAAAGTAATAATGTCTCCTTTGGGGCCCATAAGGGGTGTAAAAGGGGCCATATGTAAAAACCTTCGTTAAATGACTACTTCTCAAGAACCAGTGGATGGATTTTGACCAAACTTGGCACAAAGCATCCCAATGGGAAGCCGCTTCAAGTTTGGGAAGAAAAATGGGGTGGCCCCACTAGGGGCCCCAGGAGGGGGAAAAAGGGGAAGCTTGATACGAATGTTCTACACAAGGGCTTGGCAAGTGTTTTAACATTTTGGGGCAATTCAAAATCCAAGATGGCAACCCTGGCCTCTTTTTTGCTAAGACATTATGGACTTCCTCTCAAGAACCATTGGGTGGGTCATGTTCAAACTTGGTACAGATGTTTTACACATAGTCCTGCACGAGTGTTGTTACATTTTTGCAACATTTTAAAACCCCAGATTATTGACATATATTCCTCAGGTGACTGTTAAGGCCCCTTGGGCCTCTTGTTCCAAATAAGTTGGAATGTTTTACTACCAGGAGAGGATTTGCTGATGAAGGTTGAATTTTACCATGTTAAATAAAATTGATGTGAATATTGAATATGTGTCACTTAGCAGTTTGAAAAGAATTCATGAACTATATTTCTTCTACAAATAAATTTCTTAAAACATTGATTTGCTGTCAATCTATCTAAGGTAGAAGATGAGATTTGTACATAATTGTTCTAGATATCTTGATTGGTGTCCCCGCCACCACCTCTGGTGACCTGGATGCCAAGATCCAGGATGAACACATGAGATACTTAGTAGCAGAACTGGACATCAAGGTAAACTTGTTATATATCCCTACCATTTTGCAGGTGTGGAGGGGGGAGGGGATATGGTTTTTGCCAATGTCAGTCCTTTCCCAGTCTGAATTATGTCATATCTTGAAAATTTCTCCACAGATTTTGATATTTACCTCCTAGTACCTTAAAATCAAATTTTACTCCATATTATTTTTAGGTTGTCAATGGCCAAGGTTAATAGAGTTGAAAATCACATTTGACAACTTAAGCAAATTTATCAGTTAATGATCATGTGCTTATATACATGGGAATGTGGCATTCATGTCTTACAAAACATTTTCTAGTTTAACAACATGAACAAGATGGAAAAACAAATGGTGAAATTAGTGAGACACATTATGGAACCCAATATTTCACCATGCAAATTCAGCTAGCACAGAAAAAGGAAGATGTAGATAGATTACAGAGACTGTAAGTTAAAACTGTCCAGCAATTTTTTTTAATTATATTTTTTTCTGTAATTGAATGCTGATTGCTTACAAAGATAACTTGTTAATGATTTGTGTTTTTTCAGCCTCACTGTAAGAAAGATTTCCAGACCTTCTGCACCTATGTGAAGGAAAAATGTGAACAGTTACAAGCCGACAGTTCAAAGGTATGTGGAAAGCCAGCATCCTCACTCTTCATATTTTCACATCTATATATATATTAACCTTGGTTTGTCTTTTTTTGTTTAATCTCTGCTTGTTACCATACATGGACTAATTACCTGACAAATACTGTACTTTTCAACCAACATCAGTGTAGGACTATGTCTGAGAATATATAATAACTGACCTACCAATATGCAGAGATCAAACCTTTGATTTTGAAATAAATCTAAAAAAATCATTGCTCGCTTTTTCTAGTAGCTCAGGTACAGGCTAACTTGGCATGTAACATTCATAACTGTTAGTGGTAGACACTGGATTCAGTGAATATTGAAGTATATTTGTATGATCTTGTACTTGATTTTAATAGTATATCCTATCAGACAGTAATCTTTATGCTATGTTTCTGGTGTTACTTTAGGGTGGCCCCATTCGTCCTCCACCCATACCTTACTGTTACCAAACACCGAGCGGGCTTGACATTGACTTGAGGCTGTTCAACAAAGGTCTGTCTTTTATTTATTGATTTTCCATGTTAAGAAATAAACAAGTAGTGTGTTGCAAGTAGATTTTAACCAAAGATGTTGCTTTTCTGGACTTTTGTTTTGTTGAATAGATCTTTAACTAAGGTGCATGTATAATGTCATTATGACATTGTTTTCCAAAATTGGACAGACAAATAACCTTTTTAAGATCTAAAAAGCAGACAACTGGATTGTAACTTCTTCTTCTGATAACATATCTAGACTTTGTTTTATTTAGTTTAGTTTAGTTTATTACCAATGCAGGATTGTTACGATCCTCTATACCGGTCTCAGTGATACAACGATAATGTTTATAATTATTGTCATTTGAGACGTAAGATCCAGGAACTACAGAATTTCTATATATACCAGTTCTTGATTTGCCCAGTGTTCATCTAATCTATTTTTGAAAGAGTTAACTGTTGGTGCCGATACAATACACTCTGGAAGATTGTTCCATATTTTGACCACACTGATATAGAAACGAATCCTTTATACATTCTATAAACTTGTAATCCGGTGATTCCGTGTTATTTACATCTACATTCCATGTTTTCCAGTTTATTTCCGGATAGTTAAAATCTCCTAGTATAAGAATATGCGAATAATGTTCCTTACAGATGCCTTGTAAAAAGGTTCGTAACTGATCGTTATTCTCACTTGATCCGCTGTTCGATCTATACAAAAGACATACTAACATCTCATCCGTACTATTTAAAGTTATGCCTACACTGAGATATTCCTCAAAGGAAGTGTTAAAAGTCACCTCCTTACAAGTTAGATAGTTACTAATATATAACATAAGGCACCACCCGGTAGGAGAATCCAAATATTTAGAAAACACAGAAAAATTGTTCCTGATATTATATTCAGATTCGAACACAGTATATTTGCTATTTTTTGCTTTAACTTCAGTGATTCCAATTATCTGTGGACATTCAATATTTGTTCTTATTAAAAGTTCGTCTTATTTGTTCCTCAGCTGATCAGCGTTGGTGTATAAACACTTTATAACGACAACTTGACTTCCTTCCTCATTCCCCGCCCTGATTCCGCTTACAATTTTGACTATTCGCCTAGCCCATGGAGGTCCACAAACCCTGAACATGTATTCCCCCGACAAGTTTCCTGCTTTTCGTTTTGGCTTCATTTCTGAGTGCCTTTTCTGCCCTTCTTTCATTCTCTGTGAAATCATGACTAATATTGATGCTGTTAAATTGGGCCTTGTCCCATGGATTGCTTGTATTGCAGAATAGGTCCTGCCTTATTTGCTAGGATTAAAAAATGACTAGCATGGGTCTCTTTGATGTTTTTATGTACTTTCCTAGTCTTGAGATTGGAAGGATTTCCGTTTCCTTCAGTTCCAATTTGCATGCCGAGAATATTTTCCATATTTTCTCTAAATCCATTTTCTTCCGCTCTTGACCAGATGTACTTGTTTGATCTGTAATACCGTAAACAACAATATTTCTTTCTCTGTTTTTCCTTTCTGATATTTCAGACATAACAGTATCAAGTGTACAAGTCCTTTCCTTCTTCCCTTCCGTTGTAGCTGTAACCCGGACATTTTCCTGACCAATCTCCTCCTTCACTATCTCGCGTACTCACATTTGCTGACAAGACACTTCTCTATTTCTATGACTCGTTCCCTAAATTCCTTGAATATTTCGTTGCATTTCTCTTCTATTGTACTGTCGACCGAAATGCTTTTTTCTACATTAGGCCAGCATTCTATACAAAACCACATGAAGTCGGTTCGACTTAAGATTTTGTATTCATTGTCCTTGTCCACATTCCAAGTGTTTCGAACTCATTGAAACTTCCGCTTTACACACAAAACCTTCAACCCGATTATTATATGCATCATCACAGTTCCAATTCATTTGGAAAGATGATTCATTTTCCTTGTACCTGCTTGCGCTGCCTTGTATGTCGCTCCTACTAGACGATCGCGTTGCCCGTGTTTTGCCTGCTGACTCCCTTGGTGACGTGTCGCCATGTTTGTTGTCTTTCTCCTCGCCCATCGTATCCTGATCTATATCTTGTTCTTCTCTGCCTTAAGTAGCTCACGGCACCAGACATATTGGGAAGAGTTGTCCCGATTTCCTTTACAACGGATTTTACACGCTGTCTACGTCATATATCAAGGAAATACTTGATTAAGTAGGTTGATTGTCGGAGCGCAGAAAACTCCAACTGCATCCAGGAAGTGATGTCACAATATTTGTACAAATCTAAAATAGATTTAGAAAATATAAATGTTTTTTATTTTTTAGACTTAATCAACAATTGTCTACCTATCCTCAGTAGTATACTTGATAGAGGATCCAGGGGCTGGCATGTCCAGTACAGACAGAAACTGATACGGGAGTTACAGGGTAGGTAACAAGACTGAATCAAATGATATGTTTGACTTTCTGTAGCCAGAATATGAAGTAACATAAATTGTCTATTAGTCACCCACTGCAGGGCTTTTTTGAGGGTTTTCTGGGGCCGATAATTGGCCCCGTTCCTAATTATTTCATATTTAAGCCATATTCTCAAAATTTGCAATTTACTCCAAAAATTCTCTTGCCAATTCTTCAATTTTCTTCCTAAATGAGGCAAAAATACCTAATCCTGGACCAATAAAAAATTTAATGAGATTTTTTATTGGTCCAGGATTAGGTATTTTTGATGAGATCCAACATCCAAGCAAATATTTCCAACAGTGAGGTAGTCCTCCACAGATGTATTCCTGTAGAAACATGTGAGCAAATATATTCTTGTGAAATCTTGTTGATATTTAGTTCAGTCATCTCTGCCTTCAACTTTGTACCATTAAAGTGATACACCAGACCATACACATTTTGTACAATGAACAGCAGATTGGGATGTGACCATACATGTACTGACCGATCTGAGAGTCAGTTGTTTATACACCTGATTTTTGTTTTAAAGGTAAAGGATTAACAAATGAAGAAATCTCCAAGGTATGTAGAAAGACACTTGATAGTAGACATCATTTATATAACATGTCATTTTATTAATACTCTAATATATTTCAGTCTAACTGGCTTTTCTCTCTTGCCTAATATCCTGCTACATGTCTTCCTCTATGTATTATCACATACCAGGTTGAAATTTCAGTGATTGATATGAACAATTGGTTTTATTGTATATAAGGAAGATCTGTTTGTTTTACAAATCACTTCTGTATTGAAAAGCTCAGTTTTAGATGCTGTGATTGGTATCAAAAGTTATATTATGACGATAAATTGTGTCAGAAATGATCATAATGAATGTCTTACTCTAAAGCATGAAATGTTTTCATAGCTACAGACAAACCATGAAAATAAAATGTACCAAATAAACTGAGAGATGCAAGAATTGTGTATATATGTAGTAAATTGGTGTTTATGAAATGTTTTAGATTTGATAGAAACCACCTCTAACCATTTTACATTCATTATAATTATCTCTAGCTGTTCATGGTAACCTCTTTACTATGTCATAATGGATGGGTTTATACTGATGATGTCATAATGTCACATTGGAGATGTTTTATAATTAAGAAGAGGTAACTGATGGATGGGCCACAGAACCAGAATAAACATTTTCTTGTATGTTGTAGAGAGTCAATGCTTCCGTCATGGACGAATATTTAGACAGAGTATTTACTGCGATATGTAGCAACACAGAATTGGAGAATCTACAACAAGGTATAGGTATGTATATTGACAGTAAGACTGCAGTTCTGTATGGATTGTATGATCCCAGTTCTGTAAGGATTGTATGACCCCAGTTCTGTATGGATTGTATGATCCCAGTTCTGTAGGGATTGTTCTGTAGGGATTGTATGATCCCAGTTCTGTATGGATTGTATGATCCCAGTTCTGTATGGATTGTATGATCCCAGTTCTGTATGGATTGTATGACCCCAGTTCTGTATGGATTGTATGATCCCAGTTCTGTAGGGATTGTATGATCCCAGTTCTGTAAGGATTGTATGACCCCAGTTCTGTAGGGATTTTATGATCCCAGTTCTGTATGGATTGTATGACCCTAGATGTATAATCCCAGTTCTGTATGGATAGTATGATCCCAGTTCTGTATGGATTGTATGACCCCAGTTCTGTATGGATTGTATGATCCCAGTTCTGTATGGATTGTATGACCCCAGTTCTGTAGGGATTGTATGACCCCAGTTCTGTATGGATTGTATGATCCCAGTTCTGTAGGGATTTTATGATCCCAGTTCTGTATGGATTGTATGACCCCAGTTCTGTATGGATTGTATGATCCCAGTTCTGTATGGATTGTTTGACCCCAGTTCTGTATGGATTGTATGATCCCAGTTCTGTATGGATTGTTTGGATTGTTTGACCCTAGATGTATAATCCCAGTTCTGTATGGATTGTATGTCCCCTGTTCTGTATGGATTGTATGATCCCAGTTCTGTATGGATTGTTTGACCCCAGTTCTGTATGGATTGTATGATCCCAGTTCTGTATGGATTGTTTGACCCCAGTTCTGTATGGATTGTATGATCCCAGTTCTGTATGGATTGTTTGGATTGTTTGACCCTAGATGTATAATCCCAGTTCTGTATGGATTGTATGTCCCCTGTTCTGTATGGATTGTATGATCCCAGTTCTGTATGGATTGTATGATCCCAGTTCTGTATGGATTGTATGATCCCAGTTCTGTATGGATTATATGACCCCAGTTCTGTATGGATTGTATGATCCCAGTTCTGTATGGATTGTATGATCCCAGTTCTGTATGGATTGTATGACCCTAGATGTATGATCCCAGTTCTGTATGGATTGTATGATCCCAGTTCTGTATGGATTGTATGATCCCAGTTCTGTATGGATTGTATGATCCCAGTTCTGTATGGATTGTATGACCCCAGTTCTGTATGGATTGTATGATCCCAGTTCTGTATGGATTGTATGATCCCAGTTCTGTATGGATTGTATGATCCCAGTTCTGTAGGGATTGTATGATCCCAGTTCTGTATGGATTGTATGATCCCAGTTCTGTATGGATTGTATGATCCCAGTTCTGTAGGGATTGTATGACCTCAGTTCTGTATGGCTTGTATGACAACCTCATGTGCTAATTGACAGTGAAACAAACAGTAATACCATATTGTTCAATATTATCCTAAAGTCTACGAAGATTGAACAAAAGACACATAAGTATATGGAATGAGATATTTCATACATACATATATATATAGACAACATCCCATGTGTATCAGTATGAATAAACAACTTCTTAAAGACTCATATGATTGTTTTAGTACCATGATTATGACGTCACCAATCAATTACGTCATTACAAATAGTGTACTCTCTATGACGTTGGTGGAAATAACGTGTAGTTGCTAGGCACAGGAGTATATAAAGTCCTGATTTGAATTTGTACTGTTCTGAGGACGGCATACCTAGTGTGCCGAAACTAGTCAACTAATAAAGTTACAGAAGATCTTCATTGGCGTTGTCTGGTCCTGTTCACCTATTTTATACCTATCCTTGGGTACCGGACTCTGTATTCCCTCAGGGAATCCGCTGTGGAGTGTAACCGGACTTACCAGCCCTACCTCTTGGACGTTGGATCTCTTTTTCTTCGTATTGCCTACACCCGTTGGAGATCCCCTGCATCCTTTTTAGGATCCGTCCCTACCGACTGCGCTATACTTTATGGCCAACCGTGAGATCGACAATCCCAACATTTTTAAAGTGAATTTTGATATGTCCAACACTAACAACGACACTCAGCCGATGAAAAGATCCCGGCCTGATGATGAGGACAAGGACACCTCTTCAACTGCTAAAGTCTCAGAAGGAAATGTAGCTTTGTTTAGAACACTCAGAAAATTACACATCAAGCTTGTCAGAACGGAAAACCACCTTGAATACCTTGAACATTGTGTGCAAACCGATCAGGTGCCTAAAACCCTTCGTACTAACATACGACCACAAATCCCGGATACTAATGCGGCTTTCCTCTTCAAATGGGAGGAGGCACATTTTAACTTTAGCAGATCACTGGTAGTACTTTTAAGGGATTACTGGAAAAACAGAGTGACCACCATCAATGCGGAGATTGATTCCACTAAGGAACTACTACCACCGTCAACACCCGAGGATGAGCTCTCGCACATAAATGATCTACTAGCCTCGACTAAATTATCGGTACAGAATGAATACAAGAAACTACGCAGCCCTAGTAAATAGGTAACCAGCGGTGTTATAGCCTCTACTGTGAGTATTAAAACATTTTTATTTTATTATCTACAATGGATGCATCACCCAGGAAACGTAACCGTAAATTCATTAACAAACAGGTGTACAGGAAACGGCAGCTTTTCAAAGCCCGGACCAACACTGTTGTCAACTTATCTAATATTGTTTTATCCAACCATGAACTCTCAGTTTTGTCTAGGGGACTTTCATTTTGTCCCACACCACCTATCACTGAACCCGTTGATCTTTTAACGGATATTAATCTATTTCAACGTAGGGTCAGACTGAATGTTTTCTTCAAAAATCAGGACCATGATAACACGTTCATTCCAAATCCGTTCAAACCACAATCAGGCTGGACACCTCACCATGGCCTTAATGCCGATCTGGACACTTTCCTTAATATCACATCATTTTTCATTACCAATACTCCTCCTAAACTGACAGTGTTTCGGAATCTGACACCGGAAGAATCTTATGCACTTACCTCCCTCATTCAGAATAGAGACATCATCATCAAACCTGCCGATAAAGGTGGGTCTATTGTTGTTCTCAATCGTGAAGACTATATTGCCGAGGCAGAACGTCAACTCGGTAACACGGAACATTATAGGTCATTGGATACGGATCTCACACCAAATATAGTGAAAGACATCAACAATTTCCTACTACTGGTCAAACCCAAACTTGATAAAGATTTAGTATCATTTAATAGTATTAAGGAAGCTAGGACCCCACTTTTCTATCTCCTACCCAAAATTCACAAACCCGGAAACCCAGGCAGACCGATAGTATCTGCTGTAGGCGGACCCACAGAAAAGTTGTCGGCTACAGTCGACTACTACCTTAAACCTCTTGCTACTAAAGTGAAATCATACTTGAGAGATACTACTGACTTCCTCAATAAAATTAACGATCTCGGCAAGATACCGGCACACAGTTTTCTAGTCACTGCGGACGTGTCCTCGCTTTATACATCGATTCCACACAGAGACGGCATTCTCGCGGCTAAACACGCCCTTGATACTAGGGTGGACAAATCCCCACCTACTTGGATCCTCCTCAGATTTCTACATTCTGTCCTCACCAAGAACTGCTTTAAGTTTGACAACCAACACTACCTACAAACCCAGGGCACTAGCATGGGTACCAAATGCGCCCCAAATTACGCCATATTATTTATGGAGCGATTGGAAAATAATTTTCTGGAGTCTCAACCTCTGAAACCTCTAGTGTGGTGGAGATTCATTGACGATATCTTCTTTATTTGGACCTTCCCTCGCGAGGCCCTTACTACCTTCATGGAGGGTCTAAACCGATTCCACCCCAAGATCAAATTCACGCACGAGGTTAGCTCCACCCAGATAAATTACCTTGACACCACGGTGATTAAAGAGATGGACGGCACTTTACAAACTACTCTGTTTACTAAGCCCACGGATGCGCACTTATATCTTCACTACAGATCATGCCATCCACGTCAGCAAATACGTAATATTCCGTTTGGACAACTCCTTAGGGTACGCCGGATATGCTCAACTTTAGACGAGTTTGATAAACACAGCAGAACCATGTGTGACAATTTTCGATTACGAGGCTATCCACGGGACCTTCTAGAATCCGCCACTATTAAAGCTAGGAATGCCGACAGATTACCGCTACTTAGGAAGGCTGATACCAACACTAAAACTATTATTCCATCTATAACCAAATTTGATTCCCTATCGACAACACATTGGAACTATCTTGAAAAAACACTCAGGCATTCTCAACCGTATAGGCCCTAAAATGAACAACTCGGTGATTACAGTAGCCTACAAAAAAGCTAATAACATTAGGAACCTTCTTGTGAGATCCGACTTGAATCCACCAAACCGGACATCGGGAAGTCAACCTTGTTGCCGACCTTGCAGTCTATGTCCATTCATGGAGACATGTTCCTCCGTCTCAGGCAAATCCAACCAACAAACGTTTATTATCAGACAAAGTATAAACTGTAATTCTATCAGTGTAGTCTACATGATACAATGTCAAATATGCGGAATCCAATACATTGGACAAACAGGAAATTCGATCAGGAAACGCTTTCATGGCCATTTCGCTGATATCAGGAATGCAAATAAACACAAACCAGTCTCGCGTCACTTTACATCTATGGGACATGACGCAGGAAGTATGAAAATGACTGGACTTAAAATCACATCGAAGAATGTCAATACCTGCTTACGCACGGAAGAAGCCTTCATCACGCATTTAAACACTGCGGAACCACATGGACTAAATATCAGACACGGATAGTCTTAATACTTTAATAAACTCTCAACCTGGCTACTTGTCTGGATATTTGAAGACTGGATATTTGAAGACTAAAGATAAACTGTCATTCTTATTACGTACAGTTGTGCTTTTATATTATGAACATTATTTGCTAACCCATTGATTCGCCGCTGGTTAATATTGATATACTGAGTTTATAAGTCTTAAATTAACTAGTACTAGTATTTTAATTAGATTCTAATGACAGCCGCTTAGGAAAGAACATTACCTACATACCTGTTTTAATAGAGCCAGCCGTAGGATAGACTTCTCATACGTTTATTCATTGATATATATATAACGTAGATAACGTTGGTAATTGTTTGATCTCTTTATCGTTTAAATTTCCTCTGATTGATATTTGTACATTACATAGCATTAGCCGAGGGCTATATTATCTGTTTACTTGCATTATGACGTCACCAATCAATTACGTCATTACAAATAGTGTACTCTCTATGACGTTGGTGGAAATAACGTGTAGTTGCTAGGCACAGGAGTATATAAAGTCCTGATTTTTGAATTTGTACTGTTCTGAGGACGGCATACCTAGTGTGCCGAAACTAGTCAACTAATAAAGTTACAGAAGATCTTCATTGGCGTTGTCTGGTTCTGTTCACCTATTTTAGTACCATGATTGTCAGGAACATTAAGAAGGTAACACTTTATCTGAACATTAAGATTTTGTTTGTCTACAGGAAAACTGCTGGTAGCACAAGCTAAAACTGTAATAGCCATGAAAAAAGCTGTCAACAATGTCCAGGTTAAGATGGTGAAGCATAAAGAAAAGGTTGGTACTGTCACATCTCTTAATACTTCTGTAGTTGATGTAGATTAAAATTGATGATGCACTCAGTTAGGTGTGCAGTATGTTAATAATTGTGAATGGTAGAACACCATGTCACTTGTCCAATGTCTTATCCATTTCAGGTAAGGGCTGTTCACAACTTGCTATGCTGTAATCATACAGTATCACTTTTGAACAAGTAGATGGAATGATGAAATTGTGCTTTCAGTTTTTAGCACTTTATATTTTGAGGAATTTTTTTTATAATCTATTACCAGTACACATTTCAATACAAGTAGGAACTTGTTATTTCCACAAGGATGACACTAATGAGGTTCTTGTTTGACTTTTTGGTCGAAAATAATATTTCAGTCGAAAATAAAAATGATATTCAGTTGATCATAAATTATTCTGGAAATTAAAGTGTTCCTTTCTGAGTATAAGGAAACTTGTGAATTCTGATCTCATTAAAAAGTACTATAGAGAATATACAAGAGCAATGATTTGAGATTTACAAAATCTGGTATCAGATGTTCTCTGCTCTCAGTGTTGTAGCATATATTATTTACAATTCTTCATGTGATTACTACATAGTCTACTTTATCATCTCTGGTACACATTGTTTACAGATCAAAACTTTGACCTCGTCATTAGGCCCGATCTATGAACCATATAAATCTGATTTATTGTTCTGGGTGTTGTTAAAGTTGAAAATTGATTTTTTTTTCTTTGCAAGTAACCAAATCTGTACTTGTTGTTTTCACAGCTGATTTCCCATCTGAAGTCTGGGTACAGAGTCAAATCAAGAATCGAACCGTGGATGAACGAACAGATCCGAGCATTTGAGGTATATAGAAGTGTACAGCCCAGTTTATAGAAGAGCTGGGGAGGTGATTTGTTGATAAGAAGGACTTACATTTGTTTTGACATTTTTTGTCACAACTTTTATGTGTACATCTAATTCTTATATTCAAAGATATAAACCAGAAAAATTCTGGTTTCTTAAAGAATAATGAATTGAGTTTGAATTTGTTTCATACAAACTTGTATGCTGTTGTAGGGTGAATGTAAAACTATCTTCCATTATCAATCTATTAAAAAGAAAGAAAACAATTTTACGTACAAAAGTGTGTATGTTTCAGATGGAATTTGTGGAGCAGAACCTATGGTCTGCTCATGAGGAGGCCATTAATATCTGTGAAGATGGAGGGCTCAAACAAGCGGTCTACTTCTTGAAACGAGACCTCAACTTCCTCAAACAGGTCAGTACTTCCACCTCCTGTTTACTGAGAATCTTGATGAAATGTTTCATATGAATGTTGACATTTTTTTTATATTAGCTCACATGGATAAGGATAAGGCAATTTATTTAAGAAATTGATAATTCAGATAAGATTATCTTGGACTTTTGAAAAAAGAAAAAGAAACATATTTTTCAGAGAGAAGCAGTCCTTATTAAAGAATTGGGAAAAGTGAGACATCCCAAAAGAAAATTCACATTTGCTACAAGGATCTGGTTTCCCCAGAATTACATTGTGATGAAGAAGATTGGCAACCAACAGGAGAGGATTCCAACTGTGGTTATGAATACTAAGAGTCCACCCAGCAGTTCACTTACACTCAGTGAAGGAGACAGGGTAGGTATATCTGGGACATAGGAGACAGGGTAGGTATAGCTGGGACATAGGAGACAGGGTAGGTATATCTGGGACATAGGAGACAGGGTAGGTATAGCTGGGACATAGGAGACAGGGTAGGTATAGCAAGGACATAGGAGACAGGGTAGGTATAGGTGGGACATAGGAGACAGGGTAGGTATATCTGGGACATAGGAGACAGGGTAGGTATATCTGGGACATAGGAGACAGGGTAGGTATATCTGGGACATAGGAGACAGGGTAGGTATAGTTGGGACATAGGAGACAGGGTAGGTATATCTGGGACATAGGAGACAGGGTAGGTATATCTGGGACATAGGAGACAGGGTAGGTATAGTTGGGACATAGGAGACAGGGTAGGTATATCTGGGATATAGGAGACAGGGTAGGTATATCTGGGACATAGGAGACAGGGTAGGTATAGTTGGGATATAGGAGACAGGGTAGGTATAGTTGGGATATAGGAGACAGGGTAGGTATAGTTGGGATATAGGAGACAGGGTAGGTATATCTGGGATATAGGAGACAGGGTAGGTATATCTGGGATATAGGAGACAGGGTAGGTATAGTTGGGATATAGGAGACAGGGTAGGTATATCTGGGATATAGGAGACAGGGTAGGTATAGTTGGGATATAGGAGACAGGGTAGGTATATCTGGGATATAGGAGACAGGGTAGGTATAGTTGGGATATAGGAGACAGGGTAGGTATATCTGGGATATAGGAGACAGGGTAGGTATAGTTGGGATATAGGAGACAGGGTAGGTATATCTGGGATATAGGAGACAGGGTAGGTATAGTTGGGATATAGGAGACAGGGTAGGTATATCTGGGATATAGGAGACAGGGTAGGTATATCTGGGATATAGGAGACAGGGTAGGTATAGTTGGGATATAGGAGACAGGGTAGGTATATCTGGGATATAGGAGACAGGGTAGGTATAGTTGGGATATAGGAGACAGGGTAGGTATATCTGGGATATAGGAGACAGGGTAGGTATAGTTGGGATATAGGAGACAGGGTAGGTATATCTGGGATATAGGAGACAGGGTAGGTATAGTTGGGATATAGGAGACAGGGTAGGTATATCTGGGATATAGGAGACAGGGTAGGTATATCTGGGATATAGGGGACAGGGTAGGTATATCTGGGACATAGGAGACAGGGTAGGTATATCTGGGATATAGGAGACAGGGTAGGTATATCTGGGATATAGGAGACAGGGTAGGTATATCTGGGATATAGGAGACAGGGTAGGTATAGTTGGTATATAGGAGACAATGTAGGTATATCTGGGATATAGGAGACAGGGTAGGTATATCTGGGATATAGGAGACAGGGTAGGTATAGTTGGGACATAGGAGACAGGGTAGGTATATCTGGGACATAGGAGACAGGGTAGGTATATCTGGGACATAGGAGACAGGGTAGGTATATCTGGGACATAGGAGACAGGGTAGGTATAGCTGGGACATAGGAGACAGGGTAGGTATAGCTGGGACATAGGAGACAGGGTAGGTATATCTGGGACATAGGAGACAGGGTAGGTATAGTTGGGATATAGGAGACAGGGGGTATAGCTGGGACATAGGAGACAGGGTAGGTATAGTTGGGACATAGGAGACAGGGTAGGTATATCTGGGACATAGGAGACAGGGTAGGTATAGCTGGGACATAGGAGACAGGGTAGGTATAGCTGGGATATAGGAGACAGGGGGTATAGCTGGGAGCTGTGGTTTAGGAGACATGGAAGGTAATTTTTTGAAAAGTATAGTGTCTGTCTTTCAAATTTGATATGTAAATTTCTTTTAGTCCCTTCTTGTGTCTGTTCAATTTTAAAACTGATCAGAGAAACAAAATCATTGGCAGGCAGCCATTTTTCCTTTTGTTATTTTCCTATCTATTCTTAAGCGATTCTTGAAATTCCTTGACAAGAATTTTCATTGTAATGTTTCCTAATGTTAGCACATGATTAATTCACCTGACAATGCATCAAACAATTCAGCTAGAAAAAGAAGTATTTAACTTTTGTAGAGATAATGATGATGATATAATGCTTGTTGCCAGGATTCATTGAGGTCTCCAAATGTAAAATGATACTTTTTGAATGATAAGTTTGTTGTAAATCATTTATCACACACCCATCTTTGGAACAGTTTTAAGGGCTATTCCATTAATAATACATGGGGGGATAGCAGTTGTATCTATGTTAGGATAATAAGTGATGGGATGATTCTGGAACAGATAATTGTCTCTGCCCTCCAGGTTGTGAGCTATACTGTTGAGAAGTATCATCATCGTGTCACCTCTTCACGCTATCCGTTTTGGAGGTGGTGGAACTACCTTCATCGTACATGGACCTGGACCTGGAATGCAATTTTCCTACTAGGAGTGAGTTATTTCCCTTGATAGATAGTGCTGATTATAGGTGACACAAGTAAAAAGTAATTTTGTTTGAACTTTTATATAACTGGAAGTAGTTCTACTGTAAAACATAATTTCAAATTTTCATGACTTCATTTATGCTATTAAATATGTTTTTCAGAAGTTTTGCTACATTCTATACTTGTATATAAATGTGGAGGATATATGTCATTACAACTTGGAAATTTCCAAGCATTATGATGACTTTGTGACTGAGATGTTATGATAATCACTGTTTACAGGTAGTAATCCCCTGGTGTAGCCCCATCAGTCTGAGGGCACTGTTCAGCATCAAGCCTTTTATACCAGACTCTACACTCAGTCAGACTGATGTAAGTAAAGGATTAACGTAAGTCTGTATCTTGTGATGTAGATAATTGGTTAATGTCAGTCTGTATTTTGTGATATAGAGTGATGTAGATAATTGGTTAATGTCAGTCTGTATCTTGTGATATAGAGTGATGTAGATAATTGGTTAATGTCAGTCTGTATCTTGTGATATAGAGTGATGTAGATAATTGGTTAATGTCAGTCTGTATCTTGTGATATAGAGTGATGTAGATAATTGGTTAATGTCAGTCTGTATCTTGTGATGTAGATAATAGGTCAATGTCAGTCTGTATCTTGTGATATAGAGTGGTGTAGATAATTGGTTAATGTCAGTCTGTATCTTGTGATATAGAGTGATGTAGATAATTGGTTAATGTCAGTCTGTATCTTGTGATGTAGATAATTGGTTAATGTCAGTCTGTATCTTGTGATGTAGATAATTGGTTAATGTCAGTCTGTATCTTGTGATATAGAGTGGTGTAGATAATTGGTTAATGTCAGTCTGTATCTTGTGATGTAGATAATTGGTTAATGTCAGTCTGTATCTTGTGATGTAGATAATAGGTTAATGTCAGTCTGTATCTTGTGATGTAGATAATAGGTCAATGTCAGTCTGTATCTTGTGATATAGAGTGATGTAGATAATTGGTTAATGTCAGTCTGTATCTTGTGATGTAGATAATAGGTTAATGTCAGTCTGTATCTTGTGATATAGAGTGGTGTAGATAATTGGTTAATGTCAGTCTGTATCTTGTGATGTAGATAATAGGTTAATGTCAGTCTGTATCTTGTGATGTAGATAATTGGTTAATGTCAGTCTGTATCTTGTGATATAGAGTGATGTAGATAATTGGTTCATGTCAGTCTGTATCTTGTGATATAGAGTGGTGTAGATAATTGGTTAATGTCAGTCTGTATCTTGTGATATAGAGTGATGTAGATAATTGGTTAATGTCAGTCTGTATCTTGTGATGTAGATAATTGGTTAATGTCAGTCTGTATCTTGTGATATAGAGTGATGTAGATAATTGGTTAATGTCAGTCTGTATCTTGTGATGTAGATAATTGGTTAATGTCAGTCTGTATCTTGTGATATAGAGTGGTGTAGATAATTGGTTAATGTCAGTCTGTATCTTGTGATGTAGATAATTGGTCAATGTCAGTCTGTATCTTGTGATATAGAGTGGTGTAGATAATTGGTTAATGTCAGTCTGTATCTTGTGATATAGAGTGTTGTAGATAATTGGTTAATGTCAGTCTGTATCTTGTGATATAAAGAAATGTATGTAATGGAGAGTTATATTGATGATTACAGGGAAAGTTGTACCGTAACTCCTACTCTATAACCCAGACACTGTGTTCTCGGCTTAGTCGACTCTGGGGAAATGTCTGGGAATCAAGGAAGGAGTTTGAAGATGCTCCAGATCAAGGTGAGAGGCCTCTTGACTCTCTGGTGGCCCTTGTTTTGTTTTGTCAAGTTGTTTCAAGCCAAGCTTGTGCTCTATAAATGAATTATCATTACAACTAGTTTCTTTGAACCTTAAAAACAGTTGTGTATGAAATGATAAATGATTTACAGTCACATATAATGTGTTACTTTGTTTACAGGTTTTCTAGGGAAGAGTTTCACTCGTCACATTAACCGTTTCTGGAACTACGTCCTGAAGGGAGCATGTGGAACAGTGATTCTTGTCCTTTTCTTCCCCGCCTGCTGTGTAGTGGCTTCCACTGCCTCACTGACTGCTGCCATCACTGCTCCCCTCTGGTCAGTTCCGTTAGATAAGCTTGTTGAGAGATTTTTTTTTTATTTTTTTTTTTTCTGAAGCGAAGACAATTTTGGAAACAAATTTCACAGGGTCCAAAGTGACAGTTGTGTTTATGTTTTTGATCCCCAGTATATAATACTTTACAGTTTTAAAGACCCCCACAACCCATATGCTGTCACTGATAAATGCCTCTGCATCTCCTTATATTTATGTATGAGTGAATTTTAACTTGTAGAGCCATTGGTCCAAAGTTCGCCAGTAAAATAGAAACCATGTCTTTTTTTAATCATTCTTATCTCACAAGGCTAATTTTCATGGAGCTTTCAACTAATACTTTAACTTTAAAAAGTGTCTGTATGATATGAAAACATTATGTGTTGGCAAATGTCCTATTTCATATGGTAATTTGTCTAGTTAATTGTTTTATAAAAAGTCTAGGTGTCAGAAGTTTTTGCATGGGTTTGTTGAAAAAGAAATGTTAATGATTTTGTATTATTGTTAATTGTATTATATATAATTAAATGGGGTAAATAGTTGGTGACATGGTGTTTGAATAGAGTGATATTAACACCAGTGTTACATTGAGTTGAATATATGAATATTTTTGTTAACATGATGTTATCAGAAATGTGATATTATGTGAAATACAATTATATGACAGTGTCTTATCAGCATGATATTAGCAAAATATGATATTAAGTGGAATATATTTTATTTACATGATATTAACAAAAATGTGATATTACATGTAATACATGACAATGTCTTATTCTGTACTTTCAGGATGCCGGCTGTTACCTTATTAGTTCATATTAGTTTTTTCCTCATTTTTGATTTTGACTGTCCAGGTGAGTTTTTACTCTTGATGTCTTTACTTCCATTATTTTTGATAGATTCATTCAGAATTGTCAATGTTTAAATGATCAAAAATTAAAATCTGGTCTATTGATGTCAATATTGTAAAAAAAATTTGTGTATTTATTTTTCTTCCATAAAAAATACAGAGTTGGTTGTAAGAAAGTGATGCAAGTTTCTGATTTTGTCAAACATTCCTGAAATAACCTAAAGACTGTTCCAGTAAAACGTCTACTTGGCCACTGAACGACAAAATAGATTACTTCTATTTACTCCTGTCAATTTCTTCTAAACAAATTGTTTTAAATTTTGTAGGTGTAGCCCCTAAACAAAACCTGGGATGGGATAGATGAGAAAAGCCCTATGCATTATATTATGATTGTTTGGATTTCTGTTTCAGATGAAAGTAATCGATTGTTCCTGATTTTCGAAGCCTTACTAGGAAGGATTGTACTTCAAGGTCTAGTCCAGCCAATAGCTGCTCTGTTTACAGGAGGTGTACTCTGTCCACTGGCTGCCTTAGCAGTGTCTGTCTGTAGGTCTCAACTTCTCATTCTGTCTTATATGAAATCTGGTCCGTATGGTCATATTCTAAAACTGGGAATTTATATCTCTAAGCACTCTATATTTTGGTAGAGTTAAGAACTTTAATGTGCTGGTGTGTAAAATCATTGCACACTTTTGGTACCAGAGTGAATGCTTACATTCCACTCATCAGTCTTTGTATCAACATGTTTATCTCAGTGAACTTTTTAATCATTAAATTTAAACGTTGAATGTGAACACATGATGCATTGTCAGTGATCAATCTACAATTTGTTTTCATTAGTCTTTTTCAACTTTATTGCTAAAAACAATGGGCACATAATGGAAAATTGAAGTATTTCCTGAAAATTGATCAGTCTCATGAAAATTGTATGAGTACAGGACTCGGGACTCGTAGATTGTTCACTGCCTTGTTGTATACATATATGTATCTGTTATGTCTTAAGTGATATGGTTGTAGTTGTACTTTGTTTATCTCCCCTTGTTAGACAAAAGATTATATACAAACAGTACTGTTAACTGTTTATTGAAGGGGTGGTCTTATTAAATGTCAAAGAAAAAATCTATTGTTATGAAGTTCTTGCAAGAGGAGTTGAACTGCACAATAAACTCAAAGATCATATATTTACTTAGAAATGTTCCCGTAAGAATTTTAGGATAAAAACATTTGCTTTTTCAAAAATTTCTTTCGAATTTTAAGTTTATGTAAATTTCTTAGCTGATAGAATGATTCAGTCCTTATGTACACTGTTCATATTTGTTCTTCAAGTTGGTGTATTGAGGCGGACAGGTCGTGGAGCGTGGGACACTGTCATGTACTTTACAGTGGTGAAGAGTCGTGGAAGAGTCCCGTCCAAGGACAGTTTTGTGGCCCGGAGGATTGCAGGGCCTGGACTTGCCTCAAACTACTTCTTCCAGGTAAATAATTTATCTGGATCCTTTTAAGGAGAATCTTATCTATATGGTTGTCAGTCAGTTGGTACATTATTCTGAATAGATTCTTCATTTAGATGTAAATGTCTGAAACTAGAAATCAAACAATTATCATTCTTTTTTTGTATTTGCTGTAAATACTTGGTGTAAAGTCACCAATATAGGTCTCTGTGGTACTGTTTTTAGCCCACCATTATCAGATGGTGGGGTATTCAAATCGCCCTGCGTCCGTGGTCCGTGGTCCATCGTGCCGTCCGTCCGTTGTCGGTCGTCCATCCGTCCATCCGTAAACAATTCTTGTTACCGCTATTTCTGGGAAAGTACTGGATTGATCTGTCTCAAATTTCATATGCAGGTTCCCCTTGGTCCCTAGTTGTGCATTGTACCTTTTTTGGACTGATTCGAATTCAAGATGGTTGACAGGCAGCCATCTTGGATTTTGAGAGTAAAATCTTGTTACTGCTATTTCTGAGGAAGTACTGGATGGATACTTCTGATATTTCAAAGGTATTGGTTTCCCTTGATCCCTAGTTGTGCATTGTACTTTTTTTTGACTGATTTGAAATCAAGTTGGCCCACAGGCAGCCATCTTGGATGTCGACAGTAATACAGCATAAGCATATTTTCTTCGATATTCTATCATATTGATTCAAGACCATGTCCATTATCCACCTGTAACTGACTGCTATCTAATAATACTTTGGGATCTTTTTCAAATGATATTTGCTAATAGGTGCTTAATAAAAATATCTTTTGCCATCATTGAGTACATTCAATGAAGACCAGTTCATGAACATTTACAAAACCTGTAACACGAAAAAAAAACCAAACAAACAAATCTTAAAGAACTGAAAACAGATCCTCAAATGGTGGGCGCCAAGATCCCTCTGGGATCTCTTGTTTACTTATAAGCTTTGAAACTTTTATGAAGGAGATTGTCACAAGTCACAAGCAGGTTTAAAAACAAATTTAGTTAGATACAGTGGAGCAAAACGATGAGTTTAACTGCATCATACAACTGTTTCGTCCTGGGACTCGTCAGTGATTCTAAGGGCCTAAATTTTAGATAATCACATATAGACATTAAACAAACCTTATTCTTCAAATAATGTATTTCTGTTGCTTTTCTCGGTGAACTTATCGAATAATACAAAAGTTAAACTCATCATTTATTTCTAGATTTAAAGATAAAAAGACCTGGAGTCTGACTCCAAAATATCAAAGATTAACTTAAATGATATGTTGTCTAGGAAGTGTTCAGGTTTTATTAAGAACATTTAAATAGACCTGCTTTACAAATAAACATCTATTGTTTAAATATAAGTTGCAAAATTATTACCTGGTAGAGATTACGAAGGTCTCACTTACCCTGACATTCGGTATAAAAACTGATGACAAAGAAAATGGAAGTAAAAATTTACTAGAGCTTGCTAAAAAATAATTAGCTGGTTGTTAGAAGATCATAAAATGTTATTTGACCAGAGAAATACAGCCACCAGATTAAGGTTATGAATTACAGAGATGAGACCACGGCAGTCACATTATATTCTTTTTAACATTCATATTATATATATATTTTCCTAATGATGGACATGTTTTCTACTAAATCTGACATGAGAAAAGGTATGATTGTCCCATACAGAAAAGAAATTATTGATGGCGTTGACATTGACAGATCCAGATTGAACAGGCACTTGCAGCACTAGAGGCTCGCATGGAATTGGATGAGCTGGAGGCCTGGAAGTCCCATGTCATCAAGGTCATAGAGCTGCCCAAGGATAAGTACAGGTAGGACAATCTTAGTCTTTCTTACAGGTGGAGTGTCCAGTGATACTGACCCTCATTATAGTTAACTCTGTAGCTCACCTGGTATCTGGACAGGATGTAGCATTGCAGGTATCCATATTATGTGTCCTTATTTGTTATTGGCTGACCTGCTAGAGGATTCAGCTCAATGCACAGAAAACCATACGTGTGTGTAAGTCAAACTGTTCTGTTTTTGGAATAGTTGAACCTTGCTGTCAAATGTCAATGCCACTTGGGATTTTAACATTAAATGTGTGTTGTATTGGAATACCCCACTTTCTGGTGCATTTCTGTTCCTTTTTTCTTGAACTTTCAGACAAATAAGGGTGTTGGCACACTATATCTTACTGAGAGGGTTCAAACCAGCACTTATGCACACATGCATTATACATTTTGTCCATTTATCACACAAAATATAGTGTCTACATATTGAGAAACTGTGTGTTTTAACTTCGAGCTTTATTTTAATATAAATAAATCATGGTCTTCATTTCTAAAGGCAATTATTCCTCTCTCGTTGAAGACCTTTTCTGGTATAACAAATGTCTGTCATCTTCCCTACTAAATCAGTGTCATTACTCTAATATACTTATTAATGTAATGATAATTTCATAGCTTTGTAATTGAGGCCACATATATATGTATCATTATATGTTCTCTCCCAATTTAAGTGATATCATTATCTCACCATGCGCTATTATTGACGGTAATCAATTACATTTGTTGCATTGATTTTTTCTGTATACCTATATATGTGTATACGTAATCTATAGAAATTTGTCCTGGATCATTTGTTATGATAGAAGGGGAGTTTGTAACTCTTTTCATTTCAGAAAAAAAAATATGGATTATAAGCAGCGTAAATTGTGATTACTTTATATGAAGCAGTTGTCTCCCCTTAATGGTTTATTTTTCAAATTGTCTTCAGCATAGTTAATAGTAAGATAATTCTATAACAAAGGTGTTATTTAAAAAAAGAAAGGGGCAAATCACACAGAATTAATAATCACATGTAAAATTTACTTACTTCACTCTTTCAATCAACTTAAATAGGTGATTTTCTCAATGTATTACCATATATGATATGGGAAATAAGATGATTTGCATGTAACCTATATAAATACTCATAGGATCTTCATTTGAGATGTGTTATTTTGTCTAGAAGTTCAATTAGAATACATGTTAACATTCAAAATCAATTTTTTTTCCCCTGAATGTTGTTAAATCTTCAATGCCACTAATTTGAGGTCATGTCATACGTCTTCGGTGTGATGTCACAACATGACATCATCACATGCCTTAATTCTGGATGTTATTGTACGGCGTTACATATTGTGTATATGATGAAACACAATATGTTCATTTCTGAATCTGTTTGGTGTTTCTTGTCAGGGAAAAAAATATTTTTGAGTGAAGTTATCTGCATCTGTTATCAGGGAATTTTATGGCTCTGTTTTCTGGGTTTTTGTTTTTTCAACATAGCATTAAACTGTTTTAGTTCCATCATGAAACCATTGCATCAAGAAATGACATGTATTGCTATATAAGTTAAACTACAAGATGGAAATCATCCAAGAAGCTTGATGTTTGTTATTTTTGTGTACAAATATGCAGCTTTTGTGTATAAAAGAGATAAACGCTAGACATAGTATCAAGGGACTTCCTGTCTGTATATACAGGATACCATCTACTTCCTCTGTTTTGTGTCTTGATCCGTAAATGTGAGGATTAAACTCAACATGCTGCTAGCATTATGTGTAGTTACTGAGATAAAACCAGGGTTTAGTTAAGACTTGCATGTAAAAATAGTGTTCTTTGATTGTTATCTACAGAACATGTTAAAGAATGACCTTCGCTGACCTTGACATATGTTGCTTTTTTATGAGAATATTTAAAAAGTGTTGAGGCATCTGAATTTCATGTTGAAGATCGACCTTGATGAATACCGTTTATATACTGTAAGTCTTGACTGCCTATTAAGATATCAGTTTTTGTTAATTTGACCGTGACATAGCAAACCTCTGTATTGGGAATCAGAAGCCATTTGGAAGGAAAATTTACACTTTGCTTCTCTTGCTATGAGAGAGTGCCTAATTTAATGTTATCAATAAGGATGGTCTGTGTGACCTTGACATAAGAATCTGCCTTAATTAAAGTCACCTTGACTTCTAGAGTATGTAGTAGGCAGTAGACATGCTCATCTTTTCTGGATATAAATCTGAATAGAGTTTACACATACAGTAATCTATTCCTATGCTGAATGGATATGCATAAATTACCTCATACACTTCTGATTGATTATTAATTAAATTAATTTTTTTTATTTTGCAATTACAAAAAATAAGTGTATTACATCATTTGACTTCATATTATCTGTTTCCTTATTCATTACTTGTATTAAGAAATAGAATTAAGTGTATGCATAATTTTTTGGTGCATTGTAAATTTTTCCTATATGTAAATTGGTTGTTTCCTTATTAGGCAGTGTACTTAAATAATTTTTCAAATTATATCAGAATTGGTATGTGAACTTGAGAGCTACATTAGATGATGTTAGCTGTATGACCTTGTATGTGAAGTAAGGTGACCTAGTGACCAATGTCACTTGAACCTTCCCAGACACTGTGAACAGACCTGTGTCAGATATGTTCACTTTCATTGCTTATGTTTTATAGTCTTCCATGTCTCATAACCTAGACTTTATAATATAAAAAACCTGACCCACAAATTAACATAGGAAATATATGTTCAGTGTTAATGGTTGTCAGGATGGCATCTGTGTTTGAATTGTAGTCTTTACAGCACTAGGTGTAGCTACTAAATTAATACAGTAAGTAAACTAGAACAAACCACTAGTTAGAACTGTTACCAAGTAGTTGTAATACTAGGTATTTACATTAACACTTGAATTCTACTTAATAAGCTAACCAGAAAGTGTATTTTAAGGCACCGTAAATGACGTCCAGTGTACAACAATCATGACATTAGTATTATAGGCAAAGAAATGGCAACAATTCACCATTAGAAATGACTGCTCCACTTGATAGATAAAACAGTCAGTAATGAGTAAGTTATTTAAAGGGTTTTAATCATTTACTCAACTGTGTTGTTGTGGCATTTATAATTCATGTAAATGACAGAGCTTAGGATACCCTAAATACTAACGATATATGATATGATTTCATTTGTGGATTGATGATATTTGCAAATTAAATAAATATTTACTTTTACATAAATTTTGATGACTGATGTAAGTGTATGGTTTCAAATTCTCCTGATCATTTTGTTTATAGATATAAATTTTTAAACAGATGGTATTTACTACCTTTTTTGAATGGAAATCACTAGAAAGGTGCCCAACAACTATGTTTACATGTTATAAGATTCTTGGGTTCTGTATATATATCTGGTGCTGTACTATGATATAACTATCTTTCCTGAACATAATTGTTTTAAGCAGAGCAGCAGTGATTGTTGAGTACATAACTTTGCTAAATTTTGCCTTAGAAGTTGAGAGAGCAACATATAAGTTGTAATACACAGTCAGAGGTGGATAAATTAAGGACTGTAAGATAGGTTATATGCTGTTCAAATAAGCAATATATTTGTATGGGCTTATTACCAGGCTTGGACTTATTTTCACAAAAATACAGTAACATCACAATATTTTTTAATTCAGGCCTAACAATTTTTTTGACAAAAAAATCTTGGTATCTTCTGAAAACATATATCTGACATTGAAACAAGCATTTGTATGGCAATACAAACTTAACTAAGTAAGAGTATTTAATGCAAACATGTTGCCAGCGTGACAATAAAAGTTGGGAATGAGGTGTGCCGACCAAATTATCCAATTAGATAATTTTAGAGTAGAGACAAGAAGGTTTGTTGATACGGAAACAAGTGGCTCTTCCTTCCGCCTATCTTTAGGGAACATGGCTTGATTTAGGGAACAAGTCTTCCTGTCTATTTCTTACAAGGAGGTTACTACAGTTTGAAGAGGGGTACACTAATTCTTGTGTCTCCTTCAATCTCTCTACTTAAGTCACATGTAAATCATAACAAGGTGATTCATCCTTAATGATTGTATTTCTGTGAAAAATATGAAAAGAATTTTGTTTACATGAATCTTTACATGTTCATTCATGATAATTACTTATTGATATAGAGCCTGTTTAGAATAGATAGGTTTTCAGGTAGCACAAGTTCACGCTTGAGATAAAATCTGTTTTATACGTGTTTTCAGATGACTGGAGCTAAGTTTGGAAACTGAGTAATGGTCTTAAATAAAAGAAAAAAACAAGTCATTCGCAGACATTATGATGTAAACAAATTTAATTTATACAGGTATCTGGATAACAGGTTCACTTTCAGACCTGATGGAGTTAAAATCAACTTTGTGCAGCTTTTGTGATTTTTGGTTTTATGAGGGATGTTAAACGGAAGAAATCTTGTTTTAATAGTTTTCAGATAGACCGACTTAGTTGGGAACTTAATTGAAGTTGATTATTGTATATTTAGACCAAGTGCTCTTTTTTTGACATGTCAATTATCTCCTGTTCTTAAAAACTGATTGTACAAGTTAACTCTTCATATTACTGTTATCACTCATATTACTGTTATCACTCATATTACTGTTATCACTCATATTACTGTTATCACTCATATTACTGTTATCACTCATATTACTGTTATCACTCATATTACTGTTATCACTCATATTACTGTTATCACTCATATTACTGTTATCACTCATATTACTGTTATCACTCATATATGTTATTCATATTACTGTTATCACTCATATTACTGTTATCACTCATATTACTGTTATCACTCATATTACTGTTATCACTCATATTACTGTTATCACTCATATTACTGTTATCACTCATATTACTGTTATCATTTATATTCTTGTCAGATGTTTGACAAGGCACATGTAATGGTACAGCATTGACAGTCTGTCGTAAACTTTTTCT